CAGACTGTCTTACAGTATCCTGGTTTTCTGGTTTTATTTGGGATAGTAAAAAAAAAAAACTCACTGGGATTTGTTTTAGTAGTTAATCACAGAACTGTCTGTAATAAGCAGAGCTGGCTGTGTTTGTCCATTAGCATCAGCAATACAGAGCAGTATCTGAGGTAAGAGCCCAGAATGTTTCACTACACCTGGAAGTGACTATATAATTACTATGCAGAGAAAATAATTCAGTGCTGGCAAGGAGTGAAATTTTAAATTTCTGTGTCACTAGCAGTAAGTAGCAGGATGCTGCAGGCACCTCTAGGGAATATCTTCCTTTTCACTATCTTAAAGATTTTGACTGCTGCTTGCAGGGTGACCAACCCCTCACAAATACCTAAGGTGTGTGCATATGATTGTGCGAGGAAGTTAAATTCCTTCAAGGCCTGAGTCTGTAAAGGTGAGCTCTGTAATACTGAGGGTCTTAACTGATCCAGCTTTCTGGTCTCCAGCATAATCCAGCAGTAAGAGTTTGATTTTGACTTCACAGAGCTAACAGAGACCAGCTGAGGGCAGTGCTGGTGCAGCAGATAATACTGATCAATGCCTTGGTGCCTTTCTTGCTCCAATTCAATCAGTTGAAATTTTTTGCTACACCTGTTTTCCAATAATAATAATAATAATAATAATAATAATAATAATAATAATAATAATGTATCTGTGTAACAACACCTAAGGAGAAACATTCTTTCAACACTGACAGAGCTTTTTGCACGGACTTACCTCCTCGGTAACCAAAAACAGTTACCAAAACCCCCAAACCCAGTGCCACAGATGGAGACGTATCTTCAGTTGTCTGCCTTAATTCAAAGAGCCTTAGAATTATCTGCAGGGCAGCACTGAGGGTGGGCTGTGCTGCTCTCTAGGGCTACCTCTGGATTTGTGACTGAACAGAAAGGATCTACAAAAATTTAGGCAGAAAAGAACACTGATTATTATATTGCAAAATTAATGAATTCAATCACAAAGTACAAGAGCCAAAATTAAACTCGTTCTGTTAAAAAAAAACAACCCAACCAACCAGAAGGTGCTGCTAAATCGTCCTTGTATGCAGGCAGTCAATGTGCCTTTGGTCAGTGCCCTTCCTGGCAGCTCTGGACACTGGATTACCACTGAGAAGCCCATCACCCCTTATCACAGTAATCACTGCTTCTCCATTGCCCACCAAAGTCTTCTCTTAACAAGTCCAGGCTTTTAAAGAGGAATGCTGGGACTGTTCCAAAAGGACCAAGTGCAGGAACCTCCTCAGCAATTTCTGTAGGAAGCAGATGTGCAGATTTGTCCTCCTCACCATTCTGCAGCAACAGCTTCCTTCTGCCTCCTCTCCCAGGCCTGATCTCACACAGGAACCCTCCATTAACTTGATCTTACTGGAGATAAGAAGTTTGACTAACTACAAGTACTCATGTAAAGGAATTGTATCTCTATAAAATTACGTCTTGAAGTATAAACAGCATTTTTACTAACTTGTTGAATAAGTGATAAAAAAAGACAAGGTGAAAGGCATTAATAATTCAAGCTAGTATTTCTCATTTCTATTAAATTATTAAACTAAAAATATTCCTTAGAGTATTTTCAAAATACTCTATTTCCCATAAACTCTGCTGCAATTTCTAGTTATAAAAAACCTCCTGTGAAGCAAGCTGTACAGCAAACCCCCATGTAATTCAAGAGGGAGCACAGAAATCTGGAAAGTGATCAAGACAAAAAAATGAAATGGAAATGATCATCAAAACCAGCAAAATATATTTAAGTAGTATCACAAATACACTCAAAAAATCTATTTACATATCTAAAAACCCATATATTCAGTAAAAATCCGCCCACAAAAGGTATTTATAAACAAGAAAATTAATCCAATTTCATTGTCTACTGCTGGCAACAGATGCACTTACTGGTAGAATAGCATTAACTATGCTTTTACAAAATAAACAAAATTGAAAAACTTGAACTGAAGACTGGACAACAACTACAAGGCATACAAACCACAAGGAACTGCAAATGCATAACTCTAGTAGTGCAAAAATGAAGAATAATGGCTTTTTTCCCTCCAATACTTGTTCAGAGAAAAATACTACTGTGAATATGCAATTTGAACCCCTTTAAAAGGCTTACATTTGTATGACTCAGCACATTCGCGTTTCAGCAAGGCTGATGTTATGCAGGAGGTAAATGAAACCAAGTCAACAAAAAATTATGCTGTGACATAAATTTATAACAAACTTTATAGGAAAATGTCTGAATATACAGTACAGAGACAAACCTTGCAAAAAAGTTCTTCTCTACCCAGAAATTTGTACACGTTACCACTAAACAACATGTACATAATTGATAGCATATGTAACATTCTTTGGAATTAGATTTAAATTTCTTCCAGGCCCTGTCTTTTATACAGGAACAGCAGAAGGATAACTCCTCACTTGGATTACACGAGCTCCCAGGGTTTCTTCCTCAGGGACATGCCCGAGGATGGGCAAAGACTTGTGGAGAGGAGTAAGCACCAGGAGCTGGAGAGAGATTCCACCTGGGAATGTGGGTCACTGTAGGATGCCTTGATATAAATCAGTGCAGAAGTGAAGAACTGATGAAGTTGAAGTCCTCATCATCCATAGCCCTGGTTTGACAGTGTTTCAAAACACATGACAGTCTCTTTGTCCAAAAAGGCCTCATAATTGGAACAGCTGTAAACATTTCTTTTAAAGTTAGCATTTTCACTATGCCTTTGCTGTTAAAACAGTAACAAAATCAGAAGTAGGAACATCTTAGCTCATGCTAGAACTATTTCAGTTTCAGAAAACCAGAGGTCTATCATTGAGAAAATAGAAATAAATCTGCAAACACATGATTAGTCTTGCAAATAGCATTTTTGCTCCATTTTTCAGCTCTTTATCTGCCTTTCAGCAAACAGCTGAATATCACCCAGTCTATTCTAGGAAAAAATCTAACTTTGGGAAGTAAGCTGGAAACCATTTAATATCCAGAGGCAAAACACCAGGACAAACTGTTGCATTTATTCTGCCTAGAGCTAAGTCCATCACTGCAATGCATAGCAGATTCCTGCTCACAGATTCAGGAGAAGTCAGGAATCCCACACTTTTCTTGTTCCTCTTCATGTACATAAAGAAAGATACAGATGATGTCTGTAAAAATCTAACAGTAGCGGGTAGAAATTTACCCATTATGATCTGTCAATTATAATTAGTGGAAAGCGTTATGGTTGATATTTAAAGCTTTTACAGAACAGAAAGGACTAACTTTTTGACTTCAGATGTTCACAGTGTTACTATGAGGTGTTTACGGGGACCTTATTAAAAATTTCTAAGGCCCAAGATGTAACAGTTTATGATGCAATCAGGTGAACTTTTACTGAAGGAGAAGTCAACGATGATTTTACAAACCAAATGTAAATGAAGTCTTTATGAATCTATACTCAACAGGTGACGACCAAGAAAGGAAGACAGTGATTTCTGCAGAAGGCAGTGCTGCTTTTCTGCAACCTGATGGATGCTTGTTCAACCCAACTTCAAGTATTTGTGCTTGAAGTTTATATGATTCATCAAGAAGCTTAGGTTTCCAGCTCAGGCTCCAGAGGATAGCTTAGAGGTGCTCTAAGGTCATTCAGGAGAAATAAGGGATTTGTCTGCTTGACCTTTGGCACAGGAAAGCAAAACAAAAAAAAAAAAAATGTAATACCCTGAATTACAGGAAAATTCATCCTAGAATAGAGACCAAATCAGTTTTCCTCTGGAAATATTTACTTCTCCTTGCTAATGAGTAGTGGAGCACTTCAGCTCACTAGCACGGATTCAGATATCTTGCTTTTGGACATCTGAATTTAAGTGAGATGACTCCTACCTCTGGCTCCCACATTAAGAACTTAAGCTGGATACCTGAAGGCAGATGGTGAGAACTCTCTGTCCTTACTGACAACAGTCACCTCTTGATTCCCTGACAGAGCTGCAGTCACAGCATTTACTAAGAGAAGACCCAAAGGCATTGAATCTTCGTAGGATATAATTTATCTTTCATTTCTTTATTCCCTTTTCACGTTACAGAAGGCGATGGAGAAAGGGAAAGCAGTGTGGGAGGTGTTGTCTTGCTAAACAACATTGTGTAATACGTACTAATGAAGAAACATAGTGGCTGCCACTTGTACATCTGAGAAAATCACCACTTTGAAGCTGGTGGGTACAAATTGCTTTGGCTGTTGTAGTTCTCATTATTTTGTTTGGGAGTTACTGATGGGTATCAGTGTTAGCAGATTCTCTAACTGGCTAAAAAGCTCAAATGGCATTAGAAAAAGCCATGATGGCAAAGACTTAAAGAGCTACGTACTATTTGCATGTATTTAAAATTTTAAAAAATTAGTAAGTTGCATTTTAGACAAAGATCAGCTGCTCCCTAATACTTTTATTAAAATACTGATGGAAACAGAAAAAAGTAAACTGTAGGTCTACTGAATTGCACACATATATGCAAACAAGCCACCGCAAATTGTACTGTGGTAGCCACTTAGTTGTTTTACCCCTTATTTTCTGTACTTGAGAAAATGGCATAAAAAAGCTATGAAGCTTGTATGACTGAAGGAAAGGATTTCTAGAGTCTCACCCAGCTCTGGACCTTGCGGGTGGGAGAAAAGACTTAAGGAATACTGAGGATACCCTCTTCTCCTAAGGGAATAATCCATTCAAACAAATGTTGCTTGTGATTTTAATAGATAATGAACTCAGTGGTCCAACTCTGTACTCAGAATTTCACAGAATGAAGATTTTAGGCACGCCAAAGACTTCAGATAAACATGGAAGCAAGACAACACCTGTATTCCCGTTTTTTATCTATGGATTATTTTCTTTGTTAAATTCCTTGGGTTTTGTTTTGCTTTGTTTTCTTCAGAGTAGCTTTACATAATACAAACTAGTAAGAGCCTGGAAAATTCAGAATCACCTAACACATAAGGGAAAAATGCTCAGTGCAGTCTTTATTCCATATATGAATTAACTACTGGGAATGTATGCTCAAAGATCACCAGCAATATATTTAATGATGAAAGTAACACTGAATGCTTTTAAATCTCACTTCAGAACACACCGTCTGAGAAGTATCAGAGCATGAGAAGGTTGTCTGATTTCCTTGTTTTCCATGGCAAATTTCCACTGATGGCAGTAGAGAACTGAGGCAGGGCACAAGATGTAAAAGCAAATAAAACTAAAGCTTCTTGGTAGCTACTTACATAGAGTAGCTATATATTCTGGAGTTTTTGGCTCAGTGACCCCACCACATAATTTCAAGGATATGTAAACTGATTGGAGTATTAGCTTGGTTCTTTTCCTGTTTTTAAACCGTATAGTGAACATAAGTGACAGATCAGCATGGTTAGCACTCACAGGAGCTCCTGTCCATCAAGCTGGTGTCTCTAAACAAAGGCTGCCTTAAGTAAGACACATGAACATGTGACCTGTCTCCAAAATGCACAGTCATATTAAATAATTCTCTTATGTATGTACATGTTACAAAATTCAAAATATCATAGTTCTACCCTCTTCTGTTTAAGATTGCAATTTCTAACTGTTGCATATACTGTAGCTGCTCAAAAAGCTGAGTAAAGTGAGTAGAGCAGACTTTTTCAGAGAAAAATAGTCATAGAAAAGGTTTTAAGTATGGTACAGTGAGAAAGTTCACAGAGCTCTCACTTCATTTTCTCTTTGGTTGCTGATTAGGATTTGACAAGTTTGAAGCCCTGTCCTGTATCCAGCACTGTGGGAAGAAACCAACTCATTTTCAATCTTTTTAAACACCTAAAGCACGCTTTACAGACCCAGAACAGATTGAGACCACAAAACCAGTTTGCCAAATGTACTAATGGATAGGTGATGCGTGGGAAGTAAATCATCCAGTGTTTGGCAAAGTCACTTCCCGTTGGCAAATGCAAAGTGTAGTCGCTCCAGTGCTTTGACACACCATACACCGCTTTCACCGTGCGGCCCTTTTCAGACCAGCTGATGTTGCTGTCAGGGTTACAGTTGTACTCAACCCATTGCCTGGTGAAGTCACCAAGCTGTGGAGGGTCTGCTTCCTCGATGTCTACAACTCTGGCCATTTCTGCTCCTTGGACAGCAACATACTGGTCATTTACTTTTCTTACTTCTTTAACCCAAGGCTGAGAGTTCTCACAGTCTAAAACAATGATCAGTCGAGAACAAAAAGTGCCGTTCTTTTCTCTCCACCACTCCAACAGCGTGTCAAGTCGTAAAGCATCACCCCCTGCCACAAGGACAAAAAGATTTAATATCAGGATAAAGAAACAGAAACTTCTGCAGAACTTTAACTGTTTTGCCTGGTTCTAAGAATCCCTTACTTTAACAATTTGGACAGATATAACAGATGTTTTCAATTCATCCTTTCTGTCTGTAAATGTTGCACATCTCCATAGAGGTATTAACTGAGTTGCTGTGGCAGACGAAGCCATTACCTTACCCTTGATTCGAAAGAAAACTTACAACCAATAACAAAAAAGAAACTGCTTTACAGAGTGAATGAAATTATAGCCAAATGAAGAAATCTGGAAAATACAGATAAACGGAAAAAAAATGAAATAAAATTTATTTAACATTAAATCCTAATAATTTTAGGAACAGGAATAGGACCCTTCAAAATCGTGTTTTTATGAATATTTAAAAAAGGCTCCTCTAAGACATGAATTTAGAAGAAAATACATTTTCAAATGGTGGGAACCAAAACAGTTTCAAAGCACAATGAGAAAGCCACACGCAAGCACAAAAATTCACATGACCAGTAATGAAGAGATTCTCTCAATAGAGACAGCTGTTTTCAGAGCTTCAAGAAAACTGGTATCAACTTTCAACTCAGTGAAACAAAAATCTCATTGAAATTTTTCCACAATAGTTTCTTCTTGTCAGGTCCAAAGACCCTTGTAACTAGTGTCCAGCTTCTCATGTTCTGTCTCAGCTCCTGCTCCAAAAGGACTTTGAAAGAGGAGACTGTAATTAAACCTGAAGTGTTACTTATAGTGGGAAGTCCTTCTGCTTAAGTATACTGGATGCTGAAGGATCTATGTAGCTTTGAAAAGCAGACTACTTACTCAGGTACCTAATAACAACATCTTGCAGACAAGTAAATAACTCTCCATTGTCTCCCCAGTGATATTCAAGTAAAGAACTGGTATGTATCATAGTTGAAGCCATGATACAGGTTTACAACAAAAACACTCTAATTTGAAAATATCAACTTCAAAAAAATGAAGAAGAAGAAGAAAGATATTTAAAATAACTGGATTTTAATTCCAGAGGGATTTTTCACTATGGAATATAATTAAACAGTGTTTAAAATGTTGGCTGCATATTTCAGCACTTACAGTTCTACCTCTAAGGGGTGACAAAAAAGTGCTTCAAAGCAATATCTCAGAATTAAAGGGTTGTGCATGCTATTGCAGTTCAAGCAAAAGCAAAATTACAGAGCTGCACCTTTCTCCAAGAAAATGAAAAACTGGAGAATTTAGTACCAAAGAAAATCTCTACAAACCTAAAGTAATGACTTGTCTTCCTACATGATCCTCATATTGCTGTAATTATTTACAGCAGAGACTTATATAGAAGCACTTTCCCTTTTCTTCCATCTGAATTATCTATAAAAATTTATTTGTTCACATTTTAAAGGCTTATAAATAAACTTTATTTAAATGTAGCTATGTAGGAGTGCAGATGATTTCAAAACAGCATTGCACAGAGTCACCCAAAGAGAACCATCTCATCCTTCACAGACACAAGCCAACACACGCTTGGCTTCCAACCCTACGGACCTCAAACACATGGGCTTATCACCCAGCAAAAGATTTAGGCACCAAGCTATGTAAGAAATGCAGGTGTCTGGCAACCTCTGGCTCTCTGGCAAGTTTAGCAGGACAACAGGTACTCCAACAGTTTCAGGAACAGAGATAAAGCTTTATTAGCCCAGCTCATGCCTTTGGTTTCACTCAGACAACATGACCTCATTTGACTGCTCATAGGTTATGCGTGACTAGTTAACAATTTCTTTTACACACCACTGTGTTGTATCTCAGATTCCAGCAACAAATATCATTACTGAATTAATAAATTCAGTAAGTCTATTTTGAAGGATGTCATTACAAAGCAAAGACTACACTGCTACTGCTGTGCTGTACAATGGCATAAGCCAGCAATGAGAAACTACTTTTTCAATCAGATGAATGTTTTGTTTCATTGTTGTCGTCTCTTTTCATCCTCTGTACAGGTCAGAGGATAGTACACATCACTGGAACTGATGACCAAGGTTCCATCTGCTACAAAATGCCAGTGTCCAATACATGGGGAACAATTACAGTCAAACACCCTTTATCTTTTCAGTTTATACTTTCAATTTACATGAGGGAGCAGTGATATCTGGAAGGAGGATCACATTACACTCCATCATTTAACTAAAATAAATCACAAAGAAAGTATGCAAGACCTGCGACAGCTGCTTGTTCTTCTCCTTTATGTGATTATACATGTATCCAATAGAAGCTGAAGATGTGGTTGGACAGAGAACTGAAAAGGAACTTTGTGACAAAGTTGAACACCACTGCATTTACACACTGTATCTTCCAGCACTGAAAGTTTTAACAGTTATCTTGGCCTTTATCCTAAAAGCTAAATATTAATTTAGGTTACAGCTACCTACAGAGAGACCAGAGCTCCCCAGTCACACTCCAGGGTGGCTAGATGTAGTAAGCCAAGACTGGGGTGGAAGCTGCCTAATTTTTGCAGCAACATTTGGCTCTACAAATGCAAGAACGCTGACTTTGTCTATGTTGCTAGCTGGAGCACAGGTGGGAGGTGGCGTTTTGCTTATAGTCTGCTCTACCCAAGATGTGGAGACACTCAGCAACTGCACAAAGTGGCAGCTGCTCTTATGGACAAACCATCCCCTCCTCAGAGAAGTCATGTGGCCACCCTACATACACTGTAGTTCACAACTCACACTAAGCTCACAGTACAGCTGTGGCTTTTTAAAATCTCTGATACAGATAAAGCCCTTGAGAAAAAATACACACTGCTCCTCGCAGGTCTAAAGGTTCAGGGATAGAGTCACACCAAAACAGGTACAGAGCCTCCAGATGGAAACCAACCTGTGCCTGAACACCTACCTCAGCATGAGCCCACATTGAAGAACACTCCCTACTGAAGGGCACATGCACTTGGAGAGACACAGCTGACAAAAGAGCCAGGAGCTCACAGGCAAAGCCTTATCTAAGAGGATTAATTCTATCCCAAGAAGAAAAAAGTTACAAATTTTCCATTATTTACTATGACATCCCTTTTCTGCACACAGTGACCTCAGTTCCCGACAGCAGCAAAGGCTAAACCTTGCAATGACTTGACAACCTCATTAAGTTTACCAAACAAACGGGCCAAGAAAGGGGGAAATGGTGACGTCTAAACCAAACATATGACAAGGCATTAAATAGAGGTTTACAGTCTTGAGGGTACACTATGCCCACAATCACTCCCAAAGTGTGCAATGTCAGCAAATCATACCTGTTTTAATGATGCAAGGTTTGTTATATATTTGAAGACCTGTTTTTCTAGTGTGAATTGTGTATCTGCCTCCTGTTTCTTTTACTGATTCTGTCTTTTACAAAAAAAAGCGAAGCACATCTTAAGGACATAAATGCAGTCCTTGTGACAGTCTAACTGACACAGTGTCACAGAACACTCTGTAATTCACTCTGTCATATCTAAGGAATGAGAAAAGATTATGCTTGCTTATTATACTGAACAAATATTCCTCAAAATACAGGGAAAAATCTGTCTTTAGAGCAGGAGTGTGTAACTTCCACTTTTAATTCTACGCAGGGAAAAAAGCAATCTTTAAAATTAACTTGTTGAATACAAAAATCATACGGGAGGAAAATCAGGGGAATATGAAACTCTGTTTAAACTTGAAAGAATACATTAGGGGTCAACAGGATTAGACAATTTTGAGAATAAGTGTAAGATTAGCTGGCTGTAAAAGCATTTTTATCAAAGTCAGTAAATACTAAAATAATAAAGTTCATGAAATAACATACTTGACTGTCATATAATGCAAGGGAAGAGCCACCTCTTAACAATAACTAACCTGCATACCAAAGGGGCTTCTGCATTTCTCCATTCTCTCCACTAGCAGAGGAAGTCAGCCTGCAACCTGGCTTATTTTCTCAATTTCTTGTAGTCTCTCAATCTCTTAACACTCATGCTCTGTAATACTACCTTTTCCTTTCTTCCCTCCCTGCCAGGAACTTGTATAAACCTGTTCTCCAAAGACTGATGGTTCTTTGCCATTTTGAACAATCCTATAATAAGTACATTCAAAACTCCAAAGTTTTGCATTACAGTATGATTTTCTATAGAACTAATGAATTGATTTGGAAAGTTTATCAATAACCAAAACAATTAACAAAAAAAAAAAAAATCCCCAAACCACTTACCTGCCAGTGCCCATTCACCAGTGCCATGGGAGTGACCACTGTAATACAGAATGTAGGTATCATGTCTGGGTCCATCTGCAGTCCGAAGCTCAAGAAAAGACTTGATCTTAGAGTGAAGGGTATCAAAGGTCAGTCCGCTTGTAGAGTAGTCACAACCGTATGTCTCAATCATGTGATATGCAAAAAATCTTTGGATGGCATTAAGCATGCCAGTAGACCTCAGATTTAACTCTTGGACATGCTCAGGTGGAAGAAGAGTTGGTTGGCCATCAGGACTAAAGAGAAAGAGAGCAGCAAATCATTATGGCTGATATTTCATGCTTAGTGGACTTTTTGTAACTGATGATTTTTTCCCCTGTGCTTATTTTCTCTGCTGTGAGGTAGCACTGTTCTGAATTCAAATTTACTTTAAATTTACCATTTATAAACAACTCAAATTACTGTATTTGAGTGAGGGACCACTACCTCCCTTCTGTCACACTTCAATTCAAAGCATAGTCCTTACTCAGCCCTATGCTATTCCTGCAACTGAGACAGAGAAGAGAGAAGGAAGCTGCAATGGGAAGAAGGGAGGCTCCAACAATTACATAATGTCCCACTGAGGAGCACTGCCTTCCCACAGGCAAATTTTCATGGAGAGCTGGAAAGAAGCACAGGGGAAATGAGTGCCAATCTGCACAAAAACCATAATACAAACTATTTTCCAATAATGGACAAAAGAGAAATCCACATACACACTTCGCTCAGATACCCTGAACTCACAAATACAGTAATTCTTTCTTGTTTGTGCTGTTCAGATGCTGTTCTTTCCACGTAAGAAATGTGTTTCAGATAACAGTATTCTCAGCTTAGAAAATCAAAGTTTTCAGAAAGTTACAAACCAGACCTCGACCAAACCATGTATGTATATTTATGTCTACACAGATATGAATATGCATATATAATAAAAATAAAAGTGCCCCTGGGTTCCGGAATTAATTATATTTGTATAGTTATATATATTTTATATAAAATATGGATAAATATATAACAAATAAATCCAAATATACATAGTATATAACATATTTAATAAAAACCCACTTTTTTTTAGGTCTACACAACTATTCATTAATCATAATAATAGGAAATTTGGTCTTACAAGACACCCAGTTAGGGGAGCGCTCTTCAGAATGTATTTTCAGAAAGAGAAAAGCATTCATTACTTCAGATGTAATAAGGTTAATGATAAGGAGTGTGACTGACAGCTGGGCCAAACTGGCCTCATTTATGTTCATTTACAGACATGGAGAGGTTTTGCAGGTGAAAATATGGATAAGTCTTACTCTACTAATACAAAACATGGCATTATGGTTTTTTCCCTATATATGTGTGTAGTTTTCATGTATTTTGTTTGCAACTCAGTATGTAAAGCTACATGGTCTCCTTACTGTCTAGCTAATTGAATTTTGCACCTTCTCACTTGCCTAGGGCTTTTATGAAAATTAATATTCCACTGGTATAGCTACATTGAATAGCTCATCACTACTGTTTGTCTTAGCAAGTGAAGACTAGGTCCATGGCTTAAACAGTCAAGCTTTGGTAATAAGGAAGCATAGTTCTGTCAGGTCCTAAACAGTTGCTCAAGAGTATCTCATTTGCTCAAAATTAGAGGGAACTGCCTGTACCAGAATAATATGATACAATGAAAGAATTAAATTGTTACCATGGAAACAAAATGAATTTATTTTTATTGTAATGTAAATTTTGAAAATCTGTTTTTCAAATCTGTGACAATAATTGATATGGATTTTTTAAGGGTGCACAGCTGAAAGACTGTAGTTCAGAAGCTCAGAAAATTTGTTTTTTACAACATTTAAGATACAGTTATCTAAGATTAGCACACAGTCTTTGGTTTCTTTGATGTTAAGATCTTCCTTATCCACTAAATCCATTACATATACTAAAGCAGTGAAGTTTTCATAAATTGGGCTGTTCTATTTTGAAGCCTCTCATTTCAACACACTACTCTATTTCTCTTGTAACTTGAAGAGATAATTTATATAGCTCTTGTTTATCATTTATTAAAAAAATGTGGTGCACACATAATTTTATGGCAAAAGCAGCATTTGCAACTTTAAAGCTTATAAGAAAAACACAAAAAAGGGCAAATAATAATAGTATAATCCCTTTACAATCATGCATTTCTCATATGGTAACATTTATGCTGGAACAAAAACCAGCTTCAAATTCTCAACATCAATACCTGACATCTAGTCCACTTGCAAATCTAATTTTAATGAACTTTAAATGTAGACATTACCTCATTTAATTGAATTCAAAATTATTTTGAACTGTTCTGTTTGGCTTTTTAAATCTCCTCATGTAAGATACCTGGTCTCAGTCAAATGCCCCAAACCTCCTTTGTGTGAGGTATGGACTGTGTCATCTACCTATGCACAGCTGGTCTGTATTCATTGGCTTTCTAAAATAAAATGACCTAGATAGAAAGGTGGAGTTATTTATTCCAGGGTGAGAAAAAGGAGGAATAGAAAACCTGCCTATTATTTGAATTTGTATTTAATTGTTGAAAAATCCAAGCACCAGCATTGCATTGCCTCCATGAGCAAACAGTATATTTACACACTGTAAAGCTGAAATGCATATAACCATACCTGCAAAAGTTGGTGGGAATCACAACAGCATACCCAACACACGTTCCTCCCAAGCAGTTTCCCAGTTCATGGAAAAGCCCATGAGCCATGGACTCCAAAGGTAGAACAATGAGAAATGCACTCATGAAGATCCCATTGGTTGGCTAAAAAAAAATTAAGAGACTTAGGCTTTGTATGAAAATCCCTTTGTTTGATCCCACATAATTGGACCCTGAAACATGCAAAGTATTACTGGTAATGTACATTTATTTTTCCACATATTACATGATGAATTACTGTAAAGACAAATGAAAAGCCTGGGGAGAAGGTGGCTGGTAAGCAAGGATCACTCTTCTGAAAGGAATGCATTTGCACTGTCAGCACAGAATTTAGCTGTAAAAAGTGTGATCATAGCTTAGTTTTACCAACTGAGGCAAGAAAATCAAATGCCACAAAACTAATTGTGTGCATAAAATGAGATCTGTAAACATTTGCAGGGTCAGGCCTTAATCAGTAAGGTACAGAACACATTATCTATCCAGCATCAGATGACAGAACACTGTATTGCATCCATTCCTAGAGGTATGTAAAATATGTGAACATGTGACACTTTGGGAGGTGGTTTAGTGCTGGACTTGGTAGCACTGGGCTAATGGCTGGATGTGATGATTGTAGAGGTCTTTTCCAACCTAAACCATTCTATGAGCATTAAAAATATATATTTAACTTGTGGAATACTAGGTATCAAACAAGAGATGAATTCTGAGTTCATTTGTGAACATTATTTCAATTAAAAAGACAATCCTTTGTCAGTTACATAAATACCAGATGAGTTAAGGAACATGCTCTACAGGTCTTGATAACATTCACAGAGCTAATACCCTTTATTGAGCTTTCCTGCTTCATAGGGAAGAAGCAGTTTTGGAAAATATTACACTTACTAATACATAGCTGATTTCTGTAAAAAACAAACAAAACCCCAAGAAGTTTCAACAGTTACATCTCAACTACTAGTACTAGTAAAATATAAATGTACTTCTGAAATGCCAGATGTGTCTGAGAAGCAAAACAGATAAAAATTAATTTTAATTATTTTAGCATGATGTCAATGAGTTTAATGAGGTATTAAATGCTTTAGGAAAGATAGAAACAGTATTATAACATATAATTAAAGAAAAACTTTAATATTCATGGTGCATTTGTTAAATGTTGATATTTGCTATGTAGCAAAGGAAGTAAATTCATAGCTAGAGATTTCTGTCTTGAGAAGAACTCTGTGGTCTCTGACCTGCTCTGTTTTATTTGCCCTCTTTGTACAAATTCACAATATTGATTTTTTTTTTAATCTAGATATTGCCTTACTGTGTAAGACTCAGTGACTTGATGAGCACTGGTAGTTCAACTTAACAGAAAGCCAACACTATTAATAATTTGGAAATTATATTATACTGAAAAATATTACACGTAGACCAACCCAGATCTTGTTGGCACATGGCACTACCTCAACTATATTCAGTTTTTAAATACAATTACTTAACCTGAAAGAACAACTTTACACACCTAATGTGCTAAGAAAGAATAGTTTGCTACCTGTCCTGGTTTTAAAATGTGTCCTATCATACTTCTGATGGAAGGATCTCACCTATGTGTCCTTGAAATGGTGAGAATAATACTTCTAATCATAAATAAACACCAGAATCTGATATTAAATAATAACTGACAGCATTATTAATTGATAGCATTAATTACCTGAAATCACCAGAAGACAGGAAAGTTTAAGACACTGTAACTATTATGGTACCACCTCAATTTGTTTTATTGTCAACATGGAGAAAACAAATCCTTTAAGGAAATATATAATTACTGTTTTAAATGTATCAGCAGCAAGTGCTCCTTTTTGTTGCTCTGTTTCCCCAATGCACTCTGAAAAAGACTTAGAGTGGCAGCAACAAAAACACAGAAAGCTCTGGTTAGATTTTTTTCTGTAGAAACCTGAAATATAAAACTTCAATGAGAGTGGAGTTTTCTAGCTAAATTAATTTCAAGATCTGGAGAGTCTTAGTTTCCAACTGTAGATTCCAGAAAGGCAATGTGTTTTAAGATACAGAAAAAAAAGGGGAAGTATTTTTGTGACAAGTTCAGCTTTTCCACCACATATATTTTCTTGGACTTTACTAGAGCAAACTGCTCCTATATTGCATTAGTGTTTTGAGTACAGTGAACATATTACAAAATAAAAAACACATTTGCCCATAAAAACTAGAGTGATCATAATATCCTAAATAATACTATTATAATATTACTTTAAATGAATTTTATTGTAGTTTTCTTACAACATGACATCTTATTCTAAATACTCCCTGCATTTCCCCAATCCCCTAAACACATGCAACTTATTAAACCCACAGCATTCTGCCACAACACAAATTGAAATTAGAACCAAGATTCGCTCTGAGTTTAACTCCTAAAAGATATTTACATTTAATTATTGAAAATCCTCCTAATAATATGAAGACATTGGCAAAGAAAATTCCCAAGTACTTGTGAAATAAGGATATCACATAGAAACACTAAGGATCTCGGTGATCCATCTTTCTGTGTATCCTGCTTTGAGTTTGTACCAAATATTACAACAGGAATGGGAAATAAGCTCTGTGGTGTTATGAATCAACTCCACTCCATCTGAGGTTTTAAATGTGTCATCTTTTAGTGGCCATCTTATGCTATGGACTAGGAAAATGTTGGATATTTTACATTTGTAAACATCTAGCTAATGTAAAGATGCTGGCACTTGCTGTCAGCACTTCTTCAACAGTTTTGATTTAGAAGAAATATGTCACAAATGTAAAAATGACTAAAGATGATTAGAACAAATCTATAGTAGGATGGTAAAATATCTTAATCCAGCATAGCAAAAAAATGGCTGGTAGCATTTAAAAATACCTAAACAATAAGAAATTATAATAGCAAAAAATATCTGATTTAGTGAAGACAGGTTCCTCCCTGAAGATAAACAGGTAAAATTCCACGTGGAAACTGTCAGTGCTTTATTAAATCCCAAAGATTTGATGACTGGTCCTTAATGAAGCAGATGGCCATGGATGCACAGGCAGAGCCAGAAAGGGATTCTGTTCTTTCATCTGTTCAACCCATTTTCATTGTTTTCGATTGCACTAGCAATGTGAGTCTGCAGTACATCCCTGAACTCCAAGTGCCCACTGATTCCAGAGAGACTGCTTAAAAAGCAAACAGAAGACAGGGACCATCTAGGCAATCCTACTAAAAAAAACCATGAGTCATCATTTCATCTCTTAATTTTTAGTTTGTTTTTTTTCCCCTTCTTCTGTCTTGTTCGAAAGGAATTAACAATGAAGTCTTATTTCAAAAAGCATAGAAAAGGTAAAAGAAAAATATCTACTTTTTGTCTCTGGTGACTAAAATGACAGACAATAAAAGATTGGTGAGATTTCACTAACAGTTGTATCTTTCCATTTTCTCCTTTTTTTGAGCACTGTTTATTGTTAAGTGTAACAGTTAGAACACCAGAAGAATTTAGAGGTATTTTACAGCCAATATGTCATTTCGTACTCATGGATAGGACAACTTCTACCCCAAAGAATAACCACTGTTTGAATCAGAATAACTCTGGAACTGCATTTAATTATGGATGTGTGACTGAAAAAAAACCCCACAAAATGCATAAAATGTAATTAGAAGCCAAATACAAAGACCTATAGAAGAGTCCTTCTGTTTAGAATAGAAGTGAAACACATAAACATATGTCACAGATGATCACAGGATCATCAAACTACTGGGGTTGGAAGGAGCCTCTGGAAATTGTGTGGTCCAACTCACTGTTCACACAGCAGGGTGCCTGGGATTATACCTAACAGACCAATAATAAAAAAAGTTTACAAAGACGCCTTTGTGCACTTTCAAGCAAAAATACTGCCCTGCTTTCCATTATCCAAGCTGAATATTTACCTGTTTTTATACACTGACACACAGAGATACACAAAACCCCCCTAAACAAAGGAAGCATAAAAAAAGAACACCCTCTGTGACAGAGAAGGCACAGGAGAAAAGGGGTAACATGCTAACTAATCTACAAGCATTTGATGGATAGCTTATTTCAAAGGGCAAGATATGCATATTACAGGTAGAAGAAAAGCTTAAAGACAACATTGGTTGAGCTACAAAGTACATCAGCTACCAGAGGACACAGTCTTATAACAGGTTACCAAATGAACAATCTATGGAGATCAATAAATAATCCTTTACTTCTGACTATTAGAACAGCAGTGGGAAAATGTAGAAAACAGTTTGCAGAAAGCAGTTATCACAATCAGTGGCAGATGGATTTCACGTGCTGTGTTTCCCATCCCTGACTCCTGTTCTAACCATGGGAAAGCCTGTGATTTAATCTACATGCATTGGTTCCAGCAAAACCACAAGAAGTTAGTTATCAGTTTAAAAGCCTACTAAAAACTCTGATGTTTTTAAATACAAAAATGCGAATCCTGAAATTAATGAAATTTTGACAGCAAGCTGAACACATAATAGACTCTTTAGACTACTATAATGAATACTTTCTCTTGTCACCAGAGATCCCCTTCAGCACTGAGGAGCTCTGGATGTGGTGGTGACAACAGCAAGGTGTGCTGCCACTGTGGATTTCAGCAGCAACCTGGGACAACTTGGGACAGGACTGAAGAGGTAGAGAGTCAAGGAGGGCTGAGCACACTCCGAAGAGGGGAAGACAGGCAGCAAAAGTACACATGAGAGAGGGTGAGTTGGAGACGAAATTGTGAGCAGTGAGCAATGGCCACTTAGGATGCAGCTTAAGAGCTGATGGAACAGTAGGAGAAGAGGGAATAAAGGTATTAGAAAAGAAACTCAACAGAAAAGTCTTTAAAATAACAGGAAAGCACAGGTATTGAAGGCAGATCAGCAAGAAAGGGAAAAATTGTCAGTGACGAAAAGAAAGGGGGGAACTAAACATGACCAGACAGACAGATGAAAAAAGCAGGAGCAGCATGGATATTTGAGAAAATATGGAAACTGGCCAAAGGATGCAGCAGAGCCTCTTGGGCGAATAAAAAAAACCAACAACACAAAATGCCCCCAAACAAGCAAAGCCTGAGGAGGACTGGATTAAAAATACAAGCCAGGAAGAAAAGCAGAGATAAAGACTGGATACAATTTGCATTCAAGTTATTTAACCTGTGAAGTTAATAAAAGTATGTCTGTGCAAATACAGATGCTACTATATATACAAGGCAACCACACCAGAAAAAAAATTTCAAAATCATTAGCCCTTCCCCAAACAGGAAAGCACTCATACATACAGTAAAATTATTTTGTCTCCTATAAATAATTCGAGTTAAATGGTACTGTCCACTTAAATGTGAGTACTCAAGCATGTAATGAATATTACTATTTTACTAACCCATAAAATTCACTTCAACCAAGAATAATGTACTGAAAGTACTTCATTCATACTTTACCTGCTCTAATACAGCTAATTTTTCACTTGATAATTATTAAATACAAGCCTTCCAGGGATAATAATTCTCTTTGGCCAGTAATTCAGAAAACCCGTAGTTACCTTCCCACTTAACAAAATTTGATTATAAGTGTTTGAGAAAAAGACTGCCCCAAACCTTTTCAAGATCTTTGTCTGAAAACTACAAGCTCTTCATCTGCAAATTTTTCATCACTTTACTGGATTCTTGAAGAAGTAATATCTGAGTCATTTGCATGACTTCTTCTGAATCTTGTACAGTCCAAAGGCCTAATTACGAACTGAATGATTAACTGTTGAAATAAGTTGGAGCTAAAGAGTCTATTGATCTGACTGAAATTACTCACACAAATATAAAGGCAGGTGCTGAGCATTTCCTGCAGATTTTGCAAAGAAAATGTCCATATATTTTTACCAAGAAGACATCTTTGCAGCTATAACAAGGATTATTCTCAGAAGCAGACCACGTCCTAGCTTAAACATGCCCCACTGAAAGAAAAGCTGTTACTCCAGTTTTTAATATACCCAACTTCAACACGTTACTTTTACAGTTCTCCCCAATCCCATACCCAAGTACCATGAACAGAAACTTTAAACCTTTGTCTTATTACAAAGGCTATGTTCCTCTTAAAGAAAGGTCCTGGGCTAACAGGACTTCTAGCCTCAACAGCTCTGCCTCAGTAAGAAAACCACTGTCTCTGCTACAGCAAGTCAATTCACCTCACATTAAAAGCCATTCCACACAAGGAGATTTTATATTCTCCTGCCAATTTTAATAAAATAGGATACTTCTAGACACCAACTAACAGACAACTGGCACTTTAGGTCTTGACTTTTCATACACACGAGATTCATATGAAGCACAGATATTAGAGTTATTAGAAATGTTAAGAGGGCATATATAATGTGCTTGCAAAACATTTTCCATGAAAGGGAACTCCTCACTTTCCACCACTCCATTTCTGGCTATAAGTGAGATTTTTTTACAAGCTATTACTAATTATTTATAGCTGACTGTTAGGAAGCACCTTTCCAAGGCTCAGATTTTTAGCAATTCTATTCATACGAGGTCAAATGGCAAACCACAAAGTGATTTCAAGCCACCTCTCTTATTAAATGCACTATCATTAAACAAGTTTTCAGTAGTGAGGAAAGGTATAAACAAAAAATGCTTCACCTTCCAGGTAACGTTTTAACAGATGTCAAATGTAATTCACACATACTGAAACAACTAGAGTAATCCCAAACTAATGTTGCAAAGACTGAAAATTGTTCATTTTACACACGCAAAAAACGTTCTAGATAGTCTTTAGGAGAGCGAATACATTTTCAGGAACTGGTGACCAAGGAATACTTGGCATTCCTAAGAAACTCTGAGGAAAAATACGTTTTAAATGTAAATGTAAAAAATTTCCTTAATATAAGAATGTATGAATGGCTGTATTAATATGTACCAAAGGTCCATCCAGAAGAATGTCTGGTCTCCAAAGAGGCCAAATGGATGCCTAGCAGAGACTGTAAGGACAGAGCAAACGTTTCCTCAGTACTTTAACCACTAGTGACTCAAGAACTTCCTGAGCCAGATATGCTTTCCAGACAGTATACATACCCCAGTGAATTTTGTCCTGCTTCCTCCTGAGCCTCTGCAACCATGGGGAACACATTGCATGCCATGATACACAGCCCCAGAGCTCAGCACCATATGAAGAACTATTCCTACCTACTTGGCTCCAACCTGTTTCTTGCCAACATGATTCCTCTCAACTTCTGCACTGAACTGATTGCTTATTGTTTATTATCAGGATTGTTTATTATCTCTACTTTTTTGGTCTGTTTCCTTCTGTCCTTTCTGCAAGTCCAAACACCATAGCTATGAGTGCTGATAATTTTCCAAAAAAAAGCAAAACTACCTAGTGTTCCTTGCAGGCTTGTCTCTTAACCTCTCATGCTCTTCATACAAAAAACAAAACCAAACTAAACCCCAACGTAGAATCTTATAAATTAACTGTTAATTTCATCTTCCACTAACTTCTTTAATACCGTTCATCCACAAGGTTATTTAATCTAAGAAAATCTGCAGGATTAGAAATTCTACAGGAGTGGGCAGGAAACTGGTCTGGAAACACTGCAAATAAATGTCTGTAAATGTGATCTACTGTAAATTATATTTTATATATATTAATATAAGTTTGTAATTCATATAGGAGGTGAATGGACACAACATTAATAGCTACTGTGGTTTACACTGACTTGAAAAAGAAAACAGACTCTGAATGCCCTGATGCAACTATGACAAAACATCACGTGTCTTAACTTGGGCACTGAACAAACATTTTGAAAGAAATGTATGATTTTTGCTAAAGAAAAGAGAACATCCTTAACTCATAAATGGAAAGAAAAGTCAAAGTACACTGTGTGATTTTAATGACTGATCTTTCAGGTATCATATCCTGGGGTGCATAACCAAATTTGGAAGTGAGACACTTAAAGCTCATGTTATACCAACAATTTATGAGTTCATCAGCTGATCTCTGATTCCATGTAATTGATGAAAAGCAAAGCAAAATTACTGAAAAATACATTATTTAATACATTTCAATCTAATTAAAACAGTACACAACAAAAGTCAGAGATTTAGTGAGCATTACTAAATGCTCACTAAAGGGTGAGGGTTTAACACAATGAAAACAAATTTTATGGCACAATAAATTCAAAAGCAAAACAATTTCCCGACTTGTAAGAAACAATTTTTTACAAGTAGGTAAATGCAAAATATTTTGCTCATGTCTTTTGCCCTGGAAGCATTATGTTTTCCCATGCTGCCAACATAAGGAAGCTGGTGGTTTCTCTTGCTTTAACAGGTCACAGTTAAGGCAACTCAAAGTGTTAAGTTCAAAGCACATGACGATAAAACCACGCATTCCAACTTTGAATTGCTAAGCCACAGCACACCATCAAATTTTAGGAATTTTATGGAGCCAGTAATTCTCAGGATTATCATCAAGAGGAGATCAAGATAAAGAGATTATTATTTACCTGCCAAGAGACAGCTCCCAAAACAGCAGTCGCAACAAGGCTGAAAAATACCAGCTGTTCTGAGATCAAGCAGAAGTGACGCATTCCTTTAGACGCCATGACTCTGTCCAGGCTGTTGTTTTCTGCACGGTGAGTATAGTACACCCTGTGGCAGTCATTTAGTTTTGTGTGAAATCCCCAAAGTGTTATAAAAAAAATCACATGACAGATCATCCAGAAAATTCCAAAAATAGAAAAACCAGGTATCACAAAATACCAGAGATCCAAATCACGTAGTTTAAAGGCTGCAAGAATGAAAAAGATTAGTTCAATGACTCCAACAGAGATGACAGAAAGCCGCCTGCAAATTTTACCACGGTACAGGTAGGGCTTCCATCGCTCGGTAACGGAAAGTCCACTGAAGTAAACGTCGAGAAGGGGATCTGAAATGAGGCAGCTGAAGAAACATGCCAAGGCAAAAGGGTTTGTGGGGATTTGCAGTGATGGAAAAAAGAGCAGGGATGCAATGGCTCCAAAAATTGCCAAATTTGGAATTGCCAAAAAAGACTTCATACGTAAGTCAATAATCAACATGGCCAAAGCCAAGACCAAAAGAATAATGCTTACAGATTTTTCTACCAGCATAGTCGTGCTGGCAATTGCAAATCCAACTAGCTCCAAAAATTCAACTGTTGTCAGCAGAGTTGGTCGATGATGGACACAACCACAAATCCTTTCAACTAAAGCACATAATACCCTCAAAACAATGGCAGAGAGAAGCAAATATTTTGTAGCTTCTTCTTTCACATCTGTTTTGAAGGCAGAATTATTGAGAAAACAGAGAAGGCCAAGCAAAAAACCAAACCAAAGATTGGAGAGACTCAAACTTGCTGTTTCCATTGAAAAGTAGTAGTACAGTATGCTAGCAATTCCAAGAACAAAGAGTCCCAGAATAAATATTACCAAAATCAGTGCGTCTGCAGTTTTTTCCCACCTGACATAAAGGCCCATGCAAATGGCAACCAGTAGGTTGATTCGGGCAAGATAGCCCAGGTATCTGACTGAGGAGTGCATGTTCACTTCTCTGTTTGCTTCTTCAAGCCGTGTCATTGCTGCAAAGAGACAGTGACTAACACAGTAACGCAGTGACCTACACATGTAAACTGCAGTTAGGGGTTTCACCCACTTGACTGACAGTAAATATTCAGGTTTCATCCAATGAACACAATGCAACTGCTGCCTTCTGTAGTATCATTTCAGTAACAGTGGCCAAGAATCCTTGAAGTCCTGGAAGAGAATTAAAAAATGTTTTAGTAGCAAATAATTCCCTTTAAACATATAGAATATAAACATGACCCATCCCACCTCACAAAGAAGTTTAATATCTAGATTAAAAAACCACATATAAGAGACCATTAAAGTGTGAAAACCAATATAAAATGGGTTCTGCATAAACCTTATTTCATAACTTGAATGAAAGGAAAACAATCCTGGTCTGGGTAGTTTTCCACAAAATTCATCGATTACGTATGTGTATTAGATATCTATGGATTTCCAAAACCCTTCTATGACAGCCACTTGTTTCTAGAACATTTTATAATTATTTTAAAACACTATTTTATTTCGCCATTACATTTGTTAAGTTCGCACTTTATCTTAAATCTTTTCAGCATGTTTTGCAAAACTTCCTTTTAGCAGTCAAATAACTAAATGATTTAGAAAAAGAACTTCCAACTCAGTTAATGAGCTTAACCCACAGTAAAAAAGATATTATTATCTCCATTTCAAGAAAGGAGAGTGGACACACAGATGTAACAACTGGTCTGGCATGATTTTCAGAGATTCCTCCGAACACAAAATCAAAGCCTTCATTTGCACCCCTTCAAGCCAGTTTCCCCCCTCTCTAAAACCAAGAAAACAAACAAGCTGATCAGGATAAATATCACATTTAGAACACAAGCACCTCCTACTCAGACCCGTTTAACTGATGTGATTTTCTTTTTAATATAGTTAGGAATAGACAGTAGTATTTTTAAAGGGCATTTTGCAATGTTATGGGCAGAGTCTCCAACGCATAAAAAGACTTATATGCAATCTCCATAATTTTTTAAGCAATTAACTAATTGCCCATCTTACAGAGACTTCTGAAGACTACTTATAACTATCACTACTGGTATGATAGACAAACCAGCGAGCCAAGAACACTCACTGCTTGATTATAGCTTACTGCTTTTATTTATAATGGTGGAGGAAGTGTTAAAAGACACCTTAAATGCAAAATTTAGACTTTACTCTCTCTTAATTTTTAAATTCTCATTTTTTAAACCAGTGAACAACGAATAATAAAATGAATTGACTGATTTGCCTGTAAGTGTTGTCAGATTTGAAGACTGACACGCAGTGTAAAACCAGCTTAAGTCATTGCTGCAGAGAAAAACTAGGCTTGAGAAATCCTATTGTTTAAATTATTTATTTGGTAACAAATATTTTCAAATTATGTTATGTACCCAACAACAATGCAGATATGACTTGGAAGAACTATGCACTAAAAATCTGTTTACCTGAAGCAGAATACATATCATATATTTAAAGCAAATTGCTATTACATTAGGTTATTGTAAGTTAAAAGTTCTTTGGAATTCAACTGCGCATTTTCATAGTATTTGTTATTATTAGTGTTTTACAGATATTGACTTCATTCTGAGCTGCCTTCATGCTTAATACCTCACAATATCTCTTCCCTCAGTAAGGTACTTTCTGTTCCTCTCACCCTTTCGTTTCTCCGTTACACAGATAACACAAATGCGAGTTAGCTTTCATATTCCAGGTCACGATACTTTTGGTTTCATTGCACTGACTGGATCTCATTGTTTCTTATACTACAATAAACATTCACTTTATGGACAGCTTGAACCATTTATTTCAGCTGCTGCAGATGCCCTCTCCCTGCCTCCCACTCTCTCTAGTTCAAACCATGAATACAGGGAAACGATTTCCCATCTCCTTTAAACCCACAGCACTGACATGCGATTACTTCTACTCTGTAGAACATATGCCATGCCATCCTGTTTATCTGGATTCCTGAGCCTTTCTGGAACCCCTCCGAGTCCAGGGGCTAACCCTATAAACGTTCAGTTGGACAAGAGCCCCAGAAGCCAGCAGGAATGAGCCCTTTTCATACGAGCAAATGGCAAAGCTCCCGCCTCACACCTGGCTTAAAATTTTGCTTTGATCACTAAGTTGTTTTCTGTGGGATCGTTAACAGTAGCAAACTCCCTTCCAGGCAAGCAACGACCCACTCTGACAGAACACAACTCTCACTGGGTCAGCTTGTGAGAAGTGGAGTTTTGCTTCCAGCACACCACTGGAGGAAAGAGAAACAGAAACTCCTCTGGTCCTGCCCCTTCAGCTGCTTTGGGTACCGAGGTGGGGGAACAAATGGGGCAATATATCTGGTCCTACTGCAAAGACACAAAATCTCCTCGGACACATAGGATTTGCAAAATGACAGGATTTGCAAAATTCAGACTGTGAATGCAATCTCTTCTTCCTAATCTCACCTTCTAGCCAATTAGCAAAAACGTGTACTCCTAAAGCACACTATTAAACATTAACATCGTTTAAACAAAATATATGTTTGACTTTTTGTGAAGAGGAAAAGGTGCATTTTTATGATTAATGCATCCCATCACCCAGTTATTACCAAATAAAAAGACAACAGTAATTCAATTTTAAAAAGAAATTTCAATAACTGATTTTGTTCTCTAAAACACAGCTATTTGCTAGTAATTTCTGTCAATACTTTGTTTAAGCAAGGACTGTTCAAAGCCCTGGGACTGCGGGGGGGATAATGCTGTTGTGTTTGTTTTAAACTAACTGCTGTTTGTTTTTTAACTGCTTTAAGGTTTCAGGTTGAACACGACATACACATCTCAGCAAATCACATTTAGATTCAAATTCAGAATGTGGGCATCAACTTTTAAGTATATGTCAACTTTTGCAAATATAACTTCAAGGAAAACCTGGAGCCTCATTAACATTTAGAGACCAAACTATCTAATAACTTTCCTACATGTAAAGAAACACTGCTCCCAATGTAGCTTTTACCCTAACTTGTCTAAAAAAGTTGAAAAAACAATCAAACCCCAAAACTGGTTCAGTAGTTAAGTGCAGGTGAGAGCTATCTAAAACAGTGAATCCACTTTCCTTCACTTTTATTCTTCCAGTTCAGCACTTTTCTTCTTTTTAAAGCAATTCTGTAAGAGTTTTTTTTAAACAAAAATTCTTATTTAGCTAATACATTAACACAGCAGACTTAACCCCCGGTGAAGGGCTGCGCTCGTTTTCAGATGTTAACACCGCGCCCACAGTGCGGGTCGCCGGTTCGGGGAGACGGGCGCGTTCCCGACCGGAGCTGCAGCTGCGGGGCCGGCGGCCCGGTAAGGTCAGTGACGGCATTGGGCTGGGCGGCGCGGGGTCCCTCAGCAGCCTCGCCGCCACGCTGACCTGTGCTGGCGGCCCCCGCGTCCCACAGCGGGGTCCGTCCAGCCGCCCTCGCTGAGGATCCCCCACCCCGCCCTGCCCGCTCTCACCTCCTCAGGCGGCCCGGAACCTTCTTCCCGCCCCCCGCGCCGGCCGCCGCCATGTCGAGGCCGAGCACGGTCCTTCCCGCTACGGGCCGCGCCGAGGCTCAAACGCTGCCGCGCCGCCCGGGCGCGGCCGGATAGAATTATGAAAAAACCCAACCAACCAACCAATAGCGCCAACCTAACCCATAAACAGCGTCAACTGGTGCTTAGGCACGGAAGCGGGAAAAGTGTGTTTAAATCAGGACTGCAAGGCAGACGGAGCCCTCCCCGTCCTGTAGTCCGGCGTGACTCGTGCGCTTCCTCGGCCTCAGAGTGCGTTTCTCCGCACTCGGTGTTGGAAATAACACGTTTTGAACTGGCCCTCGCAGCCAGGTGAGCATGTAGCGGGAAGGTACTGGATCATAGTAACTCCAGGCCCTGGCCGAGAAAGGCAAAACAAGAGGCGTTTGATTGACAGTGCTGCTTAAGGACTCTTTCAACTGGAGGTGGGCTGGGCTGCTGCGGAGACCAATCCTTTGTTCCTGTAATCCTTCATTACAACCAGCACCTTCTGCCCCTAGTCAAGAAGCACTAGGACGGCCTAAGCATCTAAGCTTGCCCCTCTGTTTTTCCTGACTCAGTTATTCAGACAAACTGATTAACAAGAACCTCAGTCATCTCCCAAATTATTACACCTCTTCAAATATTAGATAGAACTGGCCCAAAGGCCTAAAAGTTACACGGGTTAAAAAAGCAACAAACAAAACCAATGAATCCCCCAAATAAACAACCAAAAGCCCAACAAAACAAACAAAAAAATCCACAAGCAAAGAGGTTTTCCTTTAACAAGCACTACAGTAGAAATCTCAGTTGCCTAGTGAGGGTCACATGCTTTGTACCAGTATTATGGACAACACTTAATTGGTACTGTATTGATTCAACCGTGATCTCATTATACTCCTCAAGCAACTACGGAAACTTCTGCATCAATGTTTTATTTAGAGAGTGAAACAACCCAACTAAGTTTCTGTGCAAGTTTTTGAAATGAAACCTTTCTAAAAAGACACCTTGCTATCCTACAGGTCGAAAAAAACAGAAGGAAACAAAGAGAAGGAAAAATGAGCAGAAAATCTGCTGCTGATTCATGGAGATATGATTAAAAAGCCTTAGAATGATTACACTTGTAAAGCAAGTCAGGCAGGCTTCCTGAAGCAGGAGGCGGAAAGGAACTGCAGGAAGCAACACTGAGCACAGCTGTGAAATGCTATTTAGTCATCTTCACTGTCACTTAAGAGACCAGAATATGCCAGGTAGGCTGTGCAGTGCTAGGGACACACTCCAAATGGGCAACACACAATGGGTGCTGTAAAAGTGTTTCAGTGAGATAGAGAAGAAATTAAGAACGTGTAGAGATGGATGGGAGGAAGTGCATTATAAAGTGGGCACGCAAAGCAACATGGTAACAGAATCAACTGGAGGAACTTAAAAAACCCTTCTGAAAAGCAAAGATCACAACTGAGATGTAGAAGCTGAAACTGAAGTACCAAATTTAACATCGTTACGGGTTATAAAATCAACCAAAGACAACTATCGCTTTGGAAATCAAGAAAATAGCTTTGCATTGATTTCACTAGGTTGTAGCATAAACAGATTGCACAGAAAGAAAATAATACAATAGCTCTACCCCAAAGAATTTTAAAAAAATGTTTTCGGTTTTTCAGATTTTTTTTTAATAAATGTGCTTTGTTCACAAAAAGTAGTGACATAAAAGACAACAGAGATGCCAGTACATGTTTTCTTCCTTTTCTTCTCCAGCACCTTAAGAATGAAAGATGTCTTGCACAGTCAGAATTTTCAAATATTTCATTACCTAGAAAAAATATTCTTGCACCAAAGCCAAATATACAACAACTCCTGATATCACCACTTTATTATTAAAGGAGATCTAAGTATTTATGTAAATCACACTTTTCTCCACCATCACAAGCTACTGTCCCTTGTGAAAAAAACAATACAAACCAAACCAAAAAAGAAAAAAAACCCCACAAAATAACCAATAAACCCACTTCGGGTATTTAGAATGATCAGCAAGAAAACCTAGCTGTTACGAATCTCAGATCCCCAAACCACAGTTGTTACCAACCTCCCAAAAAGGATTAAACGTTAAATCTTAATATTTAAGCTATTTTGGGGGATAAATCTTGATCTGAATTGCATTTCTCTGTGCATTAATACAAACCAATTTAATCAATGCCAACACATGTGTGATGGTGTACTAGTTTTTAAATCGAGTATCAGGTGTACTTTGAAGATGCACATATTAGCCTCCTATAAACAGCTGATTTTACAGCAGCAGTATTTTAACATGAGCACTGCTGGAAGCAGTGCTTAATTGGGAAGAAAGGCTTTCAGTGACAATACTGACTTAAAGCCAATTTTGAAGCCATTGTGTATTTCGTTAGAGAAGTATTCTCTGTAACAAAAATTAGCAAGTGAACCATGACTCTTGCATTTCTAACCTTAATTCTTTTTTTCTTTTCACACATCAGAATATAATTGTTTGGTTTGCATAACCCTATCATTCAGATTGAATAACAAATTTGAATTAGGTATTTGGGAATGCTTTAAGTTCAAGAAGAGACACAAAAAAAGCTTATGGTAAAGAATACAGCACCACAGTCCAGATCACATTTGAGTGTAAGCTCAATGTGATGTAACCAATGCAATTACTCTATGTAGGAAATACTATAAAAGAAAAACAGGTAGGTCAAACCGTGACACATTCAGTGCAAAACTTCAGTGGAAGGAGTAAGTTTCATTTTTGTAGCAACCACTGTAAAATCCACACTATAACTTCAATTTATCTAGCAACTTTCATACTTTAAATACAATGTGGCGATTTAATATGGTGTAAGACATTTCAGCACAATCACCTGTGAAACTGTATTAGAATTTTTTTACCAATTTTCAGAAGTCAGAAATAAATCATTATCTGGCACCTAGTTCAAATCATTTACTACTAGGCACTTATATATAGATTTAAGAGCCTAATAGCCAAATCTGAAAATTTTGGCCATAATTTTTAAATGGAAGAAAATCTAAGCTAAACTAATAATGAATCCTCTTTTATAAACCACTGAACAGAATTGATTTTTCCTGCAAAAACTCTAAGATTCACTGCACAAGTTAAAAAACTTAATAGATATCTAATCTCCTTACAGTGCTGACCCGTTTTCAGTCAGCTATGGAGTTTTTATTTAACTGAACAGAAAATTTTTGGGTCCTAATAAGCAAACAAAAAGTATGTGTTCACTTCACTTGTGTGGTCTGAATTACATGGCTTTATGCAAATATGTGTATCCTTGAAAAACTTGTGCAGTTATGTTCCTTCTTACAAAATCAGTTTGTAGTCACTGTCTAACTTAGAACTTCTACAAATAAGGACGATTCAAGAAAAAGTTGTTTCTTTTTAAAATGCATAAATAATTTACTTTAAAACATGACAAAACCCACCCTGTCCCCCAAAAAATACAGTTGGAAGAGAATACAGAATACCATAGTTGGGGAAATACTGATATATGTTAGTGCTTGTATACTCATAAAACTGCAAAACATATTCCAGCTTTGAAGTGAAACATAATTGTCTAAACGTACCATACTCCTCTGGGGGAAAAGCCTCTTCAGAAATTGCTGGTTATGCAATGAAATTACACAGTATGTACAACTATGGATGAATATATTCCAGTGTTTTGGTGTTACATCAAGAGGGCTGCAATAAACATAAAATCAAATGTGCAAGCATTATAGTTTCTCCAGCCCAGGCTTAACCAGAGTGAAACAAATTCTGGAAGAAAAAAGTTTTGTTCCATAATTAAGAAGGGACATTTGTAACCAAGTGTCTTAACCTATCTGCACATTTAATTAAAGTGCAAATTATTTCTTCCTACATATACTTCCCAGAAGCCCGTCAACTCCAGTGCCTTAAGCTCAACCACATTGAGTCAAAATACTGAAACAACATTTAACAAATTAAATAGAATTCACACTTCACAGCACTAAAGAAAAGAATGGTACCTTTCTGGAAAAAAATAGCGATACAAATCTAAAGAAAGTAACAGCAATTTATGCTATGACATGAGTCATTTGCATAAAACTTGTATTTTTTCACTTTCATACAAGAATAAATTTTAAAATTCGAAAGTAGAAAAAAATAGCAAACTCTGTAAACCTTTGCATTTTCTTTATGCAAACCATTTTTCTGTGTTGAGCCCATGTTAGTATAGCAAAATTAGTTAAGCAAGAGGTTTCACTGAAAGGGCATCTCAACGACTACATTAACTTAGAAGCAATATAGGATCTTCTAGCTCATAGAAAGGAATAGAACTAGACTGGCTTTCTCCAGAGTCTGAGTCATAGGGAGCATCAGGTAGCTCCATAAAACCGTAAGCTAGCTGTTCATCTTCTGTGTCTGAGCGAACATAGCAGGCAGCGTTGGAATACTCCTCATCCTCTATACTGTTGAAATCCTGTGGGATATACAACATTCCTGGGTAGTTCCTGCTAACTAAGTCACTTGTTGTTTGCAGGGAAGTTTTCCTAAATGCCATCAGGTGCATGTGAGAAAACTTGGAATACTTGAAGCGTTTAAAACCCAAGGACTCTATGGCAATTTTCCAGCTTTTCATCATCATAGCCCGGCGATTCTGATGAGATGAGTCAGGAGTTATTACAAGCAATAAGCCATTTAATACGAGAAGTTCATGTGCCTTCTTGCAGCATATCCATCGTTGATAGGGTGATGGAAAGTAAGAAAGAAGGAGCGAGAAAACGACAACATGGAACAGTTCTCCAGGTAGAGAATCAATAGGATTTTTCAGTTGCTTAAGAAAGGCATCTATAGCATCTTGTGCCAGTTGAAGAGGTTGCTGAATTTGAAGATTGAGGAAGTCACATTTGTACACGCTCTGGTGGAGTGACAAAAACAGAAAACCAAACATCAAGGTTAGTTTAAAGAGCAAATACAACCAAAATCTGCAGAAAAATGATTCTCTTAAACAAATGTCAAGCCTGCTGAACATTCCTCTTGCTACTAAATCAATCTAAAAGAAAAATTTAACATATATGCAAAACTTTAGATGTGCAGTGTTTTACTAGAGATTTGATAGCTGAGAACAGTTAATTTAAAAAATACTTATCCCCAAAGGAAAAAAGTATTGAATCAACTATCTCATGAATTATTTAAGAACTCAGAACATTGCAGGTGCTGAAAGCCTTTTACAGGCTTTTATAAACCTTAAGTAAGTAATGGGAAACTAAATTCAATACCTCAGAATTTCTACCATTTATTTAAAAATAAACCAAAAAACACAGCAGTTTGATCACTTGGAAAAACAGCATCATTATTTTACTGATAAAGACACAAGGAATAACAAGGCAATATAGATTCTGAAGTTACAATACTGATTTTCAGCAGTGATGTAAATCCATGTTTTAGCTTTGCTGTAGATGCAAAGTGTAGTGGCACACATTTGGGCAGTTATCAAAGTAAGCAAAGGACTACAAATCATCTGTTCATCATTTGTGCACTCATGCTGTCAAAGACTAGAAATTACACCACAATGCAACATACATAATAATAAAATCTTAACATACTTAATCACAAAACATTCAAAAAGTAAATGCATGCACTTTAGTGAATTTAAGTTTTGACACTTCATCAAGACCCTGGATTGACTTTTCATAAAAAAAGGTAGTAAGATATAATATTGCGATCTGATAGCACCAAAAATTATTCTTAATGCCTAGAGAATGTGCAGTGAAAGACAGATACTAAACAGGTAAGCAAACATGAAATCAGACACAAAACATTCTGTAGAACACATCTGAAATGTGGAATTAAATGTTGCATTTTTATACCATGAAAACAGCAATAGTAGAAAAATAGTACAAAAAGTGTGTTTTATGAAGCAATATTCAAAACAGATTACTAGAACACTTTTGCAAGGGTGTTCATAAAAGAACTAATATCCACAACTGTTTTCAAGTAGAAAAAAATGCTATTTCTGTTCATATAAAAATCACATTCTCTTCCAAGAGTAGCAGAAAATTACAAAAAGTAATCAATGTTCAAAAAAAGCAGATTTATTTTTCGTTAGCTTTAATCTTGGCCTTCAATATGCAAAGACCCAGAAAAAGATTTTCATTATGTGACTATAACCAAGAAATATTAATTGCAACTATTATACCTGTAGGGCTATATTCTGCTTCGCTGTAATACTGAGAACAGGAAATTACAGTAGCAATTTCATTATATCCTCTAGTAAGTTTTAAAAGAAAGAAGCACTTTGTGTTCAGGGTGACGTGCTAACTTTACTTAGAACTTCAAAACTTCAAGAGTTAAAAAGTTAGTGGTCACACAAATAAAGTTGAAAAAACCAATTTAGACTGCAAGTGTTTCTGAGTAGTGAAGAAGAACAGATTAGTAATGTAGAAATAATGTTAAAGACAATTTCAGAACTAAGGTATGTTTTAAGTGGAATCTGTAATCAGCTTTAGGACAGAAAATGCTACTAAACTGGAATTTGCTACTTAACTTTTGATATATAAGTCTAGAACTAATGTTTAAGTCCTCAGAGACACTGAAAAAGTAGTTATATCTCAGTGCATCCACTGACATTTAAGAACACAATCCTACTTATGAGAATAATTTGCACAGATATTTCACAGAATATTCTGAGTTGGAAGGGACTCCCAAGTATCAAGATATATATTCTAATTTTTAACTTCAGTACCTTTCCAGCCTCTTTTTACTTTTGGTCTCAGACTACATTTACTCCAATACAACATCTGCTACACACTCCAGTCTCAGCTTCCATTCCTCTAGCTTCTAATAATGCAGGTTTCCCTCAGCATACTTTACACCAGGACACTGGAAGTGAGTGCATCCTGCCTAACTAAAGAAAATATTAATCTTTTCTTGTAAGCAGTTTCCCTCTCACCCAAAATCCTTCAATGGAAATGTATTTCTATATTCCCCAGTTTGCATTCTTTATATGTGAAATAGAGATTCTAAAAAATTTGAAGACATTTATCCTTCAGTTACATAACTAATATTTCTATTCCTTTCCTTGTATTTCCACAATTACATCCTTCTTATTCCTCCAAATAAATTGAAGTATTACTTAACTACTTAGTCTATATCCAAAGCATGTCTATATGAAAGTGGATAATCTTTTTTTTATTAAAGAAGGAACTATTTAACCCTCTAATCAACATTATTTAAGAAACTGGCTTTGCAAGAAGCCTCTGTGCTTCAATTTGTTTTGAAAGGTACTTTAGTATCTTACCTAAGAAATCTGCTAATCAGAAAATTTTACCAGTTTATTTTATTTTCAGCTTTTACCACAACTTACCAAGATAAATTTTTCAAGTCAGGAGATGACATTAACTACCATAATAAAGCTCTGGCTGTTGTTCTGAAAACCTTAAATCAGCCCAGACGACTGCTGGACTAAAGATAAATTTATTCAGAAGGTTATGGTGCTGATGCAGCTCAAAGTAGAGTCATCTTCAGTACATCACAGCTCACTAATTCTGTTTTGCAGGTAGGACTAAGCTCATTCTAGCAGATGCGTTTGACTGCTCAGACTGTACTGTACTCCCTGTCCCTCCAAGAACACTTGCTAGCCAGGCTTCAAGGTGCCCTGAACAAGCCAAAGGATCCAAGAGTATCAAAGATATTTGTGATCCTGAGACAGGCCTAGAGAAAGCATGTGTATAACCACATGTACATTAGCACTCTGGAAAGCTCCTACCATGAAGCTATGGTACTAACCATGTCAGACGACCAGAAATTAAATATCTGATTGTTCCCTTCTGCTGGGAGATAATCTAAAGAACTGGTTATTAGATAGAAATTGCATTTGTTCCTCTATTAAATCCACAGAAGTTTCTTTTTCAGGACTTTTCCCAATATAGGTTTTGGTCACTGTATATTTAAATTAAATTTCATGAGAACAAATGTAACTTTCTTAGGAAAGCAGAACAACAGATTAGAAGATAGAAAAATATTAACTAGGCATACTCAAAAATTAATGTTTAGGTTCAACTCATGTCATGTTAGGTACCTAGGCTGCCATTATAGTCACTGGAGAATTAGTCAATATAGAACCCAATTCACCTCACCATCGAACAGCAGATATTTAGGTTTAACTGTTTTTAATTGATATTCACTGACTGTAATTAGAACTTAGAACCTGAGATGAAGACACTGAGGATCTATATATCGTAGCTAGAAATTCATTTGACATTTTAAATGCCACAGGCTGCCATTTCAATAGCATGTATCTTTTTTACCTCCTGTATCATGCTCAACAGCCCTACACAGTCCTACTGCCTCCAAAATGGTGGAAAGCAATCATGATGTCTGTGTTTCAAATTAGGCAAGACAAAATCTACTAAAAGTTTGTGTTTTAGATGGAACAAACATTAAATTGCTTTTGAAAGCAATTTATCAGACTCAAATTTTTAAAGAATATCCTTCAGTATTTCTCAGCATGTATTCAAAAATACAAAGGAGGTGTTAATGAACTAAACATGGTAACAAGAACAAACTACCAGGCATTTAGCATGTAAATCACATTGCAGCAAGTAAGAGAACATTACTTTCCAGTTAACTGCATTACTTCACCTGTACACTTCTTTCCACCTCTCCGCTTCTAAACAGGGCTACCTTAGGCCACAGATTTTAACAGAAACTGATTTTTAACTGTAAGTAGTCAAGGTGTATAGTCAAAGGCTTTTCTGTTTTCTGTCAGAAATGTATTTCTGTGTCTTTAAAAAAAAATTATTCCACTTTATTCTTTTGCATGGTTGATAAATGCAATTACTGCTGACAGAAGTTGGGTCTAGAGAAAAAGTCAAAGATTATATGATTACAGCAGAATTAAGGCATTTGAGAACTTTACTGCCTAGAGAAAATGAAGCAATTTACCCCAAATATGTGGATAAATTTGTCCTTTGAACTTTGGAAGCTCAAAAATATTTCAAGCAATAAATAGAAATGCTCCCTTATAGCGCCCTCTGATTACTAAACCTCCCCACAAAAACCTCACCAAATACAGTCACTGATTATTTCCTTCTGTCAGTGAATGCAGCTTCTGAGAGGTTCTTGCTTAAGCATAAGCCTACTTAATCATTATTTATACCTTTTAAGATGCAAGGACTCATCTGAAATACCGTTAAAAGATGGCTACTATAATTTTCCAATTACAAGATTAAAAACACTATTATAAAGGTATGGCTCTGGGAAAAAACATATTTTTAAAAGAAAACACAACTAGGACTTTAGAGCCTGTTCATGGGAAAGGATGCAGTGTTTAGTTCCTATTAAAACAGATATTTAGAAAGCATTTAAGTATTAAACGTACTTTTTTTACAGTAATTTTGGGGTATTCCATAAATCTGAGGATCAAGTTTATATCAAATACAGCAAACATTACATACCTCAACAGCTGGAACAATGTCTATGCCAACTGTCAGAAATTCTTCAAACTTCAGAAATGGATTAAAGCAGCTACCAACATCAAGTAATCTGATCTTTCCCAAGGAGTGAAGGAACCTAAGAAGCAGCAAGAATTAAGTTTTATCAAATGTAACTTTAAAAGCTGTATTCCAAGTCACAATTTCAGGTAACTAAAGCAAAAGATTCTCACAGAGCACCACAGTAGTGACTAATAGAAGTGAATGCCCTACTTCAATTGAGATACCAAAAGAACCAAGCTCCATCACTAAAAGCAGATGGTCCTCAAGCAGAAGTATTTTGTTCAGAGCAGCTGTAATACTAACTTGTGTACTTGTTGTAGTTAAATAAAATGGCAAATTGTGTGTCTACTAGACAGGCTTTCTCATATTGTTTTGTGTTTTTCACTTAACTTTTTGTAATATTTTAAAGTCCCACTAGAGACCAGAGTTAAAATTTCATGAGTTGAAAAGGGAAACAGAGAACAACTATATAAATTGCATCATTTACAGGGCTGCAATCTAAAAAAAAAAATCCATACTGATTTGTAACATCTTAGAATATCCAAAATCCATTAACAGAGGCAAAGTCACAGCTTTCACAGGGACTTCACAGAGATGAGAATGCTAATAATCTTCCAGAAAGAAAATGTTTTTTGCTTCAAGTTTCTGTAGCCAAAACCAACTGGCCTCTCCAAAATATAACTTGTCATGTTTCTGGGAAAGGCTCAGCCCTGGAGAGACAGATAATTGCAAAAAACTTTCAGGAACAGAGATGCAGGGCCAATGGAGTAAAACCAAGCCATGGCTGCACTCATAACGAAGCGGGAAGGAAAAAAAAGCCTCTAAGCAGCAGTAAGAGATCAGGAATCTCTGGGCTCCTTCTAGACACCCAGTAACCTACCAGAGAGAGGACATTGGAAAAGCAAGAGAAAATGTCTTGTTACATTTGGCAAAACAATAATGGCAAGTTTAAGCATTTTGCTTCTACATGGAAGAGAAGATACCGAGGGCACACTTCTCTCAAAATACCACCATGACCAAGGCAAACAGTGCAACAATTACCTTTAAGTTAAAACTGCAAACATAACTAAGCTACCCTGTAAGTCAATCAGAGATTTCAGAATGAAGATAAAAGCAACAATTTTTCCAGACTTGAAACAGGAATTTGGATACTGTGCAGGCAAATCCTAGTAGCCATAAATCACAAACGTGGACTGAAGTCAAGTAGTGTCTTTTCTCACATAAGGGTAGTCTGAGGTTTCTCAGACCAGCATTGCTAGACCTTGTCTAGCAAATGGAGGCAGTAATGGCAGATCCTTCCTCATTCAAACACAAAAATGTATGCCTATAAGTATGTTTGCATTTTATGTGAGAGTCAAATATGGTAACAACAAATCAATGGACACACGGGACTACAGGAAGCATAACAAAAGGAAAAAGGATGCTACAGTGCAGAGAAAACTTTCCATTAAAAAAAGGGAGCCTCTAGAGATCTAAACATGTTCCCTTTAAAGTGCTCAATGAAATACTTGTACAGATTAAAATTAAGCAGCAAATCCCAGAAGCCTCTGATTTCCAGGACAGCTGCTTCACCTATGATACAGTGAAAAAATCACTATGATGTATTCTGTCTGCCTATTTACCAAAGCTACCTTATTTGTATGTATTTATATATTACTTGAGAGACGATTATGTATGAGACGAACAGAATTAATGTCTTTACACCTACCAGAGTAAAACAAAGAATCACAGGTTTAGTCACACCAGTAGAAAAACCCACAACTCTTACTCGTAGTGTTACATGAGCAGAATGGAGTGACAGTCTTCAAACACTGTGTGTAGGTTCCCCCATATCCCTTGTACCAAGTTTGAGACTTCACTACTAGGTCAGTGTAGACATGATAAGCATTTCAGGAGAGATCTCTGCTTTGTGTAATACACAATCCATTTTCTTTCTGATAAACTCTGTAATTTCTTCTGTAAGGTGTCAAGAAAAAAAATGAATTTTGATTTCTCTGGGCAGTAACTTAGACCAGTTATGCCTTGTTGTCCAAGGTCTGTATGGCTACTAAGAACTTACTGTCATTTGTAGCTTACTCATGTAAATATAATAAAACTAGCCTTTGCCAGTATGTCTTAAGGGGTGTGTATATTTTTAAAGTTTTGAGAATGGAAATAAAAATCATCAGCACTCACTACATTAACAAATACTTTAAAAAAATTATTAAAATTCTCTATTAACTCCTTTCTGTACGCATTAGAACAAAAGGGAAGGCAACAAACTGGTAGCAAGAAGGCAGGTGCAGTTAGCTCTGCAACAGTCACTATTAACTGCAGAAAGTATGAAGACAGAGATCAAAGAGAGAGCAAAGAGATGCAAAGCAAGAACCAGTGCTTTATCCTGACAATGCCTCCCACTAGTAGGCAGCTTTAAAGTGTATATGATCATCAAACCTATTGATTTAAACAAACATGAGAGACAAAAGACATTAGCTCCTAAGGACAGACACACCTACTAACAACATTAGTAACATGTCATTCTTTCCCTAACTGATACTACACCTAGTTTCAAGTAAGTGCTGATCAGAGCAGACATGCTACAATGAAGGCAAAAAAAATCTTCTTACACAACAAAAAACACAATTACAGGAAGTTCTAAGAACTAATCTATAGAGAATATGAAACAAATAATAACTTTTATAGATTCCAGGGTTATGCATTCATTATTTCACTGTACTTTCAAAATATGAGTATTTTTCCATCACACATGGAAGAGTCCCAAACACGGCTGATGTTATTCAGGAAAAAAAAAAATGGAAGGCAGGACTTCAGAAATAATAAAGTTAGTCTTGGATGCCAAAAATAAAATTCTTGCTTGAGTGAAGGTCATAAACAAAATTAAAACTGTTGTTTGGAAAATACCTCAAGGATACTACATGTTCTGCAGAGCCAGTCATCAGAAAACTAGCACATTAAAAGTTAAGGGTTGTAATTCCAAATTGCTTTTGAAGTGTGTAATTGGAATCAAGAGTTTCTCTGCAATTATTTATGAAGAGAAAGTTTTAAGTACTCTGATATTTACATTTGGCACTTAGTACTTACATAAGCAATTGACTTTTCAACAGTGCTGAACAGCCATTAGATTCTAACTTAATTAACATCTTCCTTATTTCACCTCAAGGTTTAATATAAATTGCATTGCACACCAATGACATACTAAAGTGAAATTGCTCTAGCACTAAAACGAAGATGACTAAGTTGTCATTCTCAAGCAATTTTTTTATGGCATTCACCAAAATATACTATAATATAAACAGCTCTTGAAATTTCTATATTCACATGAAAATTCCCTTTCTTAAATATTAAAAATATGTCAGACTGATCTAACATGTTATGGGTAAAAAATTTCAGGGTAGATTTTAACACTCAAAAAAGTGGAGAAAAAGTCAAAACAGGTAGAACTTACTCTTCTGTCATAACTTCATGATTTGTCAAGCCAAAGTTTGGCAAAGGATCTTCAATCTTGGGAGTCTGAGGAACATTTAAAGCTGGAGTGGTCTTAGAAGCAAGAAGTGCTCTTTTTTCATCTTTCTCAAGTGCTTTTCTTTTTCCACCATTCTGAAAATATTCTCGGCATACACTGAAAAGACAAAAAGAAAAATTCCCCAAGAAAACTGAATGCTCTTGTTAGTCACTACTATAGCTAAGATACGTACCAGAGAGTTAAGAGATACAAGTGCTGTCAGCTCTTAAACAAATCTGGGTTTTATTTCAACTTTGGTAAATCAGCTTTAAAAAAGATGTGATACACCCAACAACACAAAATTGAGTGGTGGTTTGTTGGGGTTTTTCCGCCCCCCCCCCCCAAATTATGCTGTAAGTCACAGCTGAGTAAACAGATTTAAAATATTTTTATTGGATAGACTTTTAGAGTAAGACAACAAAAGTCTTGTCAGAGCATTACCAGAAGGCAAACTTCAGCTCAGTTCTCCATTATAGTGCTAAGAGTTATCAACCAGCTCCCTGTCAACACAGGGTTTGGAAATGTGTGTCTTACTGGCACATAAACTGTGGGAAAAGAAACCTAATCCAGAGTAATGTGCACATTTACATCCAGCAGTTTTGAATTTTAACTCAGTTTGCCAGGCATTTTTTGTTTTAAGTAGCAGACAGTAGTTGTATTATTGTGGAAGACTTATTTTAGCTTTCAGTTTTTCCCCATATTTACTAGCTTTTCTTACAGGAACTAGAACAAAATAAGCTAATCATACTTGAATAGAAATATTAGCCAGTTTAAAGAAATTAACGTTACAATAGTAGTTAAACAGCACTTGCATTATTCAACCAGTAGTCAGCATTAGTCAATAAGAAGAAAGCACCATGTTTGAGAATAACTGAATTTAATCCACAAAATATTACTAGAATAGGAAAAAAGTTGCTGCTGTGAAATTAAAAAGCTGGACTAACCCTGCACAATTCAGGTTTTTTAAAATTTGCCATCCAAGTATTTGCACGGAAATTTTAACAAATAATACTTGTTTGAACAATGTTTTCTGAACAACTCTTTTATTATGCTTTCCAGTAATTCACTCCATTTTCCTCTAACAAAACTGCAGAGGTTTGAATGAAACATTCCACGAAACATAAATTCAAGTGTAGTTTAATAATATCTTATACAAAGCAGGAACAAGATAATGACACTTCACGTGACAGATTTAAGGATGGGCATGCTGGTATAATGGTGCATTTAAAACACAAATAGTGACAAAAACTTGGAATACACAGGGCTTTTCTAAGATTTGGTGATATTTTAGGCATCAAATATACCCAGTCTCTTCATCATATAAGATGTGAAGGACAACGAAAAAAATGTCATTGGAGTGGCATTGAGTTTCTTAGGTGTAAACATACACAAGCAGGAACAGACAGAAATAACTTTACTCCAAGATAGGTAGGAAAGAAGCACCTTGAATCAGAAATGCATAATCACAGAATGGGTCAGGTTAGAAGGGACCCCAGAGGGTCATCTGATCCAAGCTCCCTACTCAAGTAGGGTCATCCCAGAGCACATGGCACAGGATTGCATCCAAAGGGTTCTGTTCCAGTCCTCAGTCACCTGCACAGTAAAGTAATTCTTCCTCATTTTCAGGTAGAACTTCCTGTGCATCAGTTTCTGCCTGTTGCCTTTTGTCCCACTGGCTGGCATGAACCAAGCAGAGCCTGCATGCATCCTCTTGATGCCCACCCTTCACATACTGATAGACATTGATGAGGTCTCCTCTCAATTGGCTCTTTTGAGATTGAACAGGCCCAACTCCCTCAGCCTTTCCTCAAAAGACAGATCCTCCAGTCTAGGCTGCAACACTACCAGAAATACAGACTGCAAAATTATAGCATCTCCAACCATTAGAGACTGCATGTATGGAAAGACAATAATTCTAAAATTAACTAAATATAAGAAGCCAGTCACTTTAATTAGCAGGAAAGAGATTTAAAAAAACTCAATAAACAAATGAGAAACCCCAGAAAAAAACACTTGCATTACTGCTGACATGCTAACTAAAATGTATTTTACACATTTTATTATTTATTTATAAGAATGTGATCAATTTAGAACTATTTCGTTCTGTGTATCAATTAGTCAAAGAAGTGAAACTTGGAAATAAAAATCTTTTTTGTCTATCTATCAGCTACCGCCACTTTGTCAGCACCTTGCAGTCTCTTTATTTTTATTCTAAGTCTTTTTTCCTCACTACATCACTTAAAATATCCAGAATCAACGGCAGTTTAAGTAGTGTTGCACTGGCATGTAAGACATGAGAGAATTCTCAACCTTGGAAGAATGTGTTCTTTTATACCTTAGCTATTCATGTTATCAGCCTTTTAATTCCCTAGAAGCTGTTATGCTACACAGTGTAACACTTAACGAACACAGGAGAACCACCTACTTGTAAAATGCGAATTCCTCCTGTCACAAAGCCATTTCTTTCTCATTCTTGGTACTGATGCAAATGAGTGTTTTTTCCATTCCTCAACCACTACCATGTCAACTGAGTTCTCATAATTCTACATTCTTCATAACAGACCTTCCTCATTTGCACATAAGACACTACCAAAATCAACCACAAAGAGAAGCATTCTGTACTTCTGCATTTCCCCTGGTGGACAACTGGCCAGTGTCACAGGAAGGCCCAAGAATTGATAAAATTCTTCACATTCAGATCCCAAGCTCTGCATACTGGTGCAATAGCACAGGGTACCAACAACTCCTAGCCAAATCCACCTAATCCAAATAAAAAAAGCCTCAAATCACACTACACTTCATAGCCCCTGAGGGTTATCTTCCCTTTATGGTTTTCTGACATCACAGTCATTTTGGCATGATTACTACATGTTGCCCTTTTGGTTCCTGAGCTCTCAGAAGAGTTGTCTTTGTACTCTCCCTGCAGAAGGGACCCCCACACCTTCTGTGGGGTAACAGTGAGCACATGGGCACTCACTGCACTGGTAGTTAACAGAGATAATGCTCTGTAAACTCTGTAGTTTACGCCATGGTAACTACTTGCTGATGTAGCCAGATGTTTAACTTCACAGCCATTAAAAGTCATCATTGATCACTCTGGTTTTGAGTAAGTAGTTATATAAGACTCCACATTTAACAACTGTCTCAAATAAGGAACAGAGCACTTCAATTATCTACAAAGCGAAAATTCAGGAATCTATTTTATAATTCTAAAACACTGATACAGCTCCATTTTTAACTGACAATTAGGCATTCTGATGACGCAGTATTAGCTCTATACTTAATGTACTTGCTTGTGAAAAACTGTGCAATGTAAATGCTATCTGAGCTGACAATTGCTACAGTTCATACAAACTGTGAAATAAATATTTCAGGTCTAAACTGTTTCAGTTTCCTAGATGAGAGACAGGTTAGGTTTCTGAGTGAAATGTGCAGTTCATGCCTTAGCTTTAATAAGAAATAAAAAACCCCAAATCTTTGTATTTCCTCAGCGAAACTTATTTTCTATATTTCAAATCAAACAACCTGTTCCAGTTGACTCCCGTGCTCTGTCTGCCACTTGGGTAGGACACATAAAGGAAGTCTCAGAAAAAGCCAATATGAATACATATTATTTTTTAAATACTCTTTAGCAATAAAAGAGAAGCTTTGCTTTAAAAAAGAAAGACTAAATGCATAAGTTTCAATGGAATATAAAATGAAAAAAATGAGGGGGACATTGCCAAGAAACACTATATAAAATTAAAAAACCGTAACAGAATCGTTAATTAATTCTTCTGCTCAAGTAGTAATGAACAACTAAATTAAAGCTGGTGTGGTCAATTTTTATCATGGCAAAAAGTTTCTGAGAGGTGTAATCAGTGCCTGAGGACTTCAAGCACCCAGTTTTATTGACTGACTCTCCTTCTGCTATATAATGAGGAATAGGTGAGCTTGACTCATGTTCCTTAGAACTAACCAAAACCTAATACTGAAGATGGCTTTCAGTGAGGGTAGAGAGAAATAGCAAACTTCCCTTCAGAGTTGAAGGAATGTCTGGACTTCTCATCATGGTTTCTACTGCAAAACATATCTCCTTCCACACACTGAGGAACAAGTTTATAAGTGTTTACTCTCAGAGCTGCTAGCCTGAAAAAAAGATAATTGCAAATGCTTCTAAAAGTTTAACCCATCTACCTCCCAGCCTCCAGAGTGAAGAGAGGGTGAAGTCTCAATTGCCCTTGTACACATTAATCATACTCAGAAGAGCAGTCAGGTTTCTCTTGGACTAAAAATATTTCAATATTGATTGTCATGTGCACCCAGCTTCAAGTTGAAGAAATAGTGTTCAGCCTAAGTGAGAACACCAGGTTTCTCAATGTAAGGTATCATAATTTTTTATCAATTATATTTTTTGAACTTCAAGTTGAGAAACTTTTATATAATACATTTTCCCCCTTTGATATTTGGTCTCAATTTTAGGGGTTTGAGACATTTTCCTTTTGAGAAACACAACTAGATCTGTAGTCTTATGTTTCTCTTGGGCTGTGGCCGCCTCAAGCCATTTTCTGGAGGCAGTATCTTTTATTGCCAGAGGATTCAAAGAACTTGAAAACAGTCAGCAGTTATCATATGACCACTGCTTTAATTAGCTCTAGTGTTCTACAAACAAAAGATGCTCTTGTCAGAACAAAGTAGTCATAGAATCACAGAATATCCTGAGTTGGAGGGGATCCATCAGGGTCACTGAAGTCCAACTCCTGGGCCTGCAGAAAACAGCCCCAAGAGTCACACTATGTGCAGAAAAGTGCTGTTCAAACACTTCTTGAACCCTGTCAGGCTTAGCGCTGTGACCACTTCCCTGAGGAAGTGGAGGAGTCCAGTGCCCAACCACCCTGTGGATGGAGAATCTTTTCATAATATCCAACCTAAACCTCCCCTGACACAACTTCAGCCATTCCCTTGGGCCCTGTCACTGGTCACCACAGAGATCAGTGTCTGCCCTTCCTCTTCCCCTAACAAGGAAGCTGTAACTGCAATGAGGTCTCCCTTCAGTCTCCTCAAAGCCATTCACCATCTTTGTTGCCCTCTTTTGGATGCTCTCTTATAGCTTTGCATCTTTCTTTTATTGTGACACCCAAAACTGCCCCCAGCACTCGAGGTGAGGCCACCCCAGCTCTGAGCAGAGCAGGACAATGCCCTCCCTTGCCCACCTGGCCATGCTGTGTCTGATGCACCCCAGGACAGGGTTGGTCCTCCTGGCTGCCTGGGCACTGCAGTCACATTCAACTTGCCATCGACCAGGGTCCCCAGGTCCCTTTCCCTGGTGCTGCTTTCCAGCATCTCATTCCCCAGTCCATCCATATATCCAAGGCTGCCCCATCCCAAGTGCAGAATCTAGCACTTGTCTTTGTTAAAATTCATACAGTTGGTGATTACCCAGCCCTCTAATTTGTTGAGGTTTCTCTGGAGAGCCTGTCTGCCTTCAAGGGAGCTAACAGCTCCTCACAATTTGGTATCACCAACAAACAATGGGTTTAACAGCAAAAAATTAAGACTGTCATATAAATGTGAGCATTGTCCTTTCCCATTTTAAATGGTTCCCTTCCTGCTGTTTCTGCCACCTTCCTCAGTTCCGTTCTCCTTGCAGTCAACTGGTCGATTAATTGCATTCATCAAAAAAACCTGCAAAATGATGTTGAAGGGACTTGCAAACATTCATTCAATCTTCCAATTAAATAGGGTTAGCTTTCCAGTTCTAGCAGAGATCTGCTATTCTCAAAGATCCTCTTATAGATTACTTAGCCTTCTCTTCTTTTGACTAGACTGCTCCAGTTTCTAGAAAAGAACACTGAGGCTTTTGTGGAAAAAATAAGAAGGTTTTGGTAATTTCTTTATCTTTCTTGGAGTTGAGCTGCAGTTTGTTATTTTTTAAATGCAGTGGCCAACGTGATATTTTGGCTAAGAGCAATGCTAAATAAAGTCAGAGTAGTACTTTACATATCTTGTGGACAATCTCATTAACACACTCAAGTATGATATTTGCCTCTACTGCAAAAGCATCCCATGATCACTTCAGTTTATGGCCTGCTTCAGAATCCAACTAGTTTTCTCAAAGACTGAACAATCAATTATTCCCTGGCCTTTATTTGGACAGCTGATATTTAATACAGTAGATAATATGTAGTATAGTTTATCACTGTATTAATTTTAATTCTGCTCTCAGAGTGACAGTTCCTCTCTCTTTGGTCTCATTTCCAAATTGAATAAATATACTCTGCTCTAGCAGGCTGCTAATAAAAGTATTGATTAGCTATGGATACAAACTTTGACAAATCCTTCTCAGTAAATCACATTTTTAAGATAAGCTTCTCACATCTATTCTCTACAAATATTTCCAAACAGTTCTGTACTTACCTGTCATTAATTTCATCAGAACTCTATTTCTTTGCTCATTAAACAGTCAAAAGACTAGGTCTAGATAGTGTTTTGTCATGATAATTAGAAGAACAGATTTTATTTTTTGCTCTTTAAAAAAACAGTCAAGTCAACACAAGTCTTAACAGCGAGGCAAAAGCAACAGAAGGAAGCAAACCTGCTAGTCTGGCTTATTCTGTTCTAACTGGAACCAGAACAGGTTGGCATTCATTGTCCATACAAAGGTTCACCAGCCCATCTATGCCAGCAAAAGTTAAAGAGTTACAACAATTACTCAGGGTAAACACCATCTTAATCGGTTTTGTTTAATTTTGTGTTGTAATAGAAATGAAAGAGTAACAGAAGTGCTAATTTGCAAATACCATTTGCTACTCACATTCAATTTTCTAAATATATATAAAGAAAGGAAGGAAAAAACAGTTGAGTGCTGTCCAAGCTTCACCATCACTCAGGGGATCACAATCCTGGATCTAAAAGCAGATAAAGTTTTAATCCCTCTTCCCCCTTTACAGTTCTGTAATATTTCCCTGAAACAAATAAACAAAATTGGCCCTATATAACTCAGCATACGGCCACCAGCACAGTCTATCATGTACTGCTTTCCATCTTTACAGTTTCTAGAGTCTGGATACATGTTCTTTAAACCAACACTAATGAAGAAGTAAAACAGTAAGTTTTAGGCCATCTGGTTTAAGAATTTTTGTCAGAATTTTTCCAGTGTCTTCAATCAAATAGCTAGAAAGACTTTTGAAAGAAAAACAAAATTGTTATTCTCAATCCCGAGAAGTACACATAGCTTTTCTAGTGGTTATTCTACACTATCTGATTTATTTTATCAGATCCTAGGAGAATACAAAGAAAATGAAGGAAAGAAAAAAAACCCACAAAGTCTTTTGTACTCTTCTTTTTCCTTTTAACTAATGGAAAAAACACTTCTCAGTTTCAGATTGCTGAAAAGATCTTCTTTCAAAGTAAAATAAAACTCAGTCTCTCCTTTCTTCAGGAGGCATACACTAGTGGTTCCAAACTATTTTCAGCACTCCACTCACAAATTAAAATTCATCTAATATGAAACAGCTACCTTCCTGCTGTCGTGGTAACATAGTAATAATAAGCATTGAGCAAAAGCTTTCACTTAAGTCTCATGCAAGTTCTCTTGCATGCAGTTCCGCACCCAGGCACAAGGAAGAGTAACAACAGTGGGACCTGCTACTTGTCTGGCACACCTCTTGGCCCTGTGAGAAGAAACCAAAAATAGCAGAACACAAAGTTAATCTGATATGTTCTGGTATTTAGCAATCCAGGCCTCGGTATAATTTGAGAAGTGAAAAGTATCCTCTCTTTTTCTACTAATGTAAAAACTCCTGATCCTTTGACTTTGCAAACTGAAAAGCTATATGCTTTATCTGAAGCTTTATACCATGACAGTGTGTTTTAGTGTCTCTTAGTGGGTGGATTCTCTTCTTAATACGAGCTCAGGCTGCAAAGCCCAAACTGAACATTTACTTCAATATTTACTTTGTAAATGATCTATAACAGAAACCAAGCAGGTGCTTGACACCTTCTATATACAAGTCACACTGTGCACAAGAAACATTATCCTGTCCTACAGGATAACAGACAAACTTGCCACAAGCTAAGGCATTACTGCTTAGATGAAATTAAAGAGCACGCAGCTCTGTTGAAAATGTTTCACATATTAGCTGACAATCAAATTGTAAGAAAATATCCAACAATGTTCCATGGAATCTGCCCTGGGTCCAGTACGACTATTTTTTCCCACAGATAACCTGACCTGTGGAACAGTCAGTTTCAGTTCCTTATAAGTGATCTGAGAATGATGCCAAACCAGGGCAGGGTGGGAGGAAGATGCTGCAAGAAATCGCAGTATTAGAATTCAATACAATTCAAGACAGTGTAATGTAGTAAAGAGAAATATAAATATCAGCATTTCCACAGAAGTAATGAATAGCACAAATACAAGTAAAAAACTTGCTACTCAGGAAGCCTGTAACACAGAAATAGGCAGCTGGGGATCACAAAGGAGGGAAAGTCTGTGCCATGCCAATTACCAAAAAACAAAACAAGCACAGAAACAAAAGAACAAAACGAACAAAAAAAGCCAAATAAGACCCAAAACCAACAAAATATCAAACCCTCACCAAACAAGGTCAACAGCATAAATGAGAGTGTACTACAACCTTACTAAAATCTATTTTATTTATCTCTGACAAAGCTGTTGAAACTCTGTCCATTTTTGGGCTTAGTTCTTTTTAACTGCGACATCTCTCCTGCAATTGGGATATAGATACACAAAGCACGTCCAGAAAGGTGTCTATAAACAAACACTTAAATATGGTGGATTTTTTCTAAGGTAAAGGATAAAACATTGGTAAGTAAAGGGATGGCTTTAACTATTTAAGAGTTAATGCTAGGGAAAAAAACTGAGTTTTTATTACTTGCTCCATTTCCAGAAGCCACAGAACAGCTCAAGCTCCCACCAAAATCAACTCTTTCACAGTCAATTCCTTCTTCTCTTTTTTGTTTTATGGGCTCAAGAGAATATAAATTTAACAATACCATATCTACCGTTCTTTGCTCAGCACTTTGCAGGACCTACAAACTGGCACACAAGATTACTTTTTGGTTTTCTGAAGTCATTCCCTTCCTAACAGCAAGACTGCTGATACACCCTCTTCCCATTTAAATCTCAACAGCATTTTGTTTTATTCTGCTCTACAGATTCCATAGTATTGTCTTGGATGCCAACAGTATGCAGGACTTCTGAATGACCAACATTTCTCCTATTTTTACTATTTATTTTCCTCAGGGACTGACATAGTTCAGCTCCTCATTTCATGACTTTTTTGAGTTCAGATAGCCCAACAAAACCTGAATGTTCATGAGTTATAGATATTCTACAGTATTAGATACATTTAAAACAAGTTTCACCAGAGTAAAGTCTGTCACAGGAGATTAAGAATTGAAATTTAAGCACCAGAGATCTGCATTTAGAGATCAAACACTATTATATGTACAAGTCAAACCAAACCCCTGAAAATTAAACTTGAGTTACACTCACTGCATTTATTCAGCTTAGGTTCAAAAGCATGGAAAATTACTTCATACGTTTATTTGCAAACAGCTTCAGTATTTGAGAAAAAAAAATGTTGAAAATACTTCAAAAAAGGATCACCTAATAACAAAACGCTTCATAAGCTATTTCCTTTGTAAGCTGTAACACTAAGAAGGTATTTTTTTAAGAAAGTAATAAATTATTAATATGCTGTAGGACGAATGTTAAACATTGGAAAAAGAAAAAAACAATTAAGCTTTGTAATATAAATAATTGCAAGTAAAAGCATACAATTGCATGTTTCAAATACATTATTTACCTGCAACACCATTCAATTCGGCCTTCCCCTTCACAAGTTTTTGCCCAGTGATTATCTGCAAGGTTTTTCATTGCCACAGCATATTCACACAGAGTTTCCTCATCCTCACAGTGCTCACGCCAGATCTTATCAAAGTCTCCCACTAAACAAAACAAAACAAAAAAATTCCACATCAGATACAAAGTCTCTCATTAATTCCATGGCAAAATCCCCATCCAGTTAAAAAGTTACATAATGCACCAAGAGATTACTTTACTTGCACATAATAAAAACAAGTTCATCTTTCTCTAGTCATAAACACAAAATTTCAAGTTTTGGGGCAGGAAGGGGCTGTGGGGTACTTGAGAAACTAGAAATATCAGTACACAGATTTTGTTCCATTTGTTCTGTGAAATTAAAGTCCCTGGGAACTGGCTTTCAGGTTTCTGTGAATGAGCCTTAACATGACAAATATTTTAGAAATGAAAGATTTAAAGGTTTCTACTAGCATTCACATCCATGGCAAATACTGTGATGACATTACATGAAAACGTCATCAAAGTTAAACCCACAATATAGATTTCTTTGGGTATACTGAAAAAGAAAAAGGAATTCAAACTCTCATTGATTGCTGTCTAATCCAGCCAGGCCCAGTAAATTAGCTTCTAGGGATAGTACTAAAGAATCAAACCAACTATGATCAGGAAATCTCAGACAAACTCCTCTGCTGATCTCTAGGGACAGATTTATTTCCATGCTCCTCATCTCACTGAAAAGAAGTCTTGCAGGTTAAGTTCTGGCACTTCAAAGTAATTAAATATGATGACTTTCCTTCTTTGCTCCTAAGTATCCACTTCTCCTAGCCTGCTTTACATAACGTACTGCTAAACAAGAACAAGATAAATGCTAGTCATGGCTAGCCCCAATTCCTATACAGCATGCAAACCCTTGGTGTACCTTCCTGAAACAGTATTTCTGCCCTAAGAAAGAGGCTTTCCTGGTATGGCGTTCACTAATTTATTTTGTGTTTCTTAATCACAAATGTATGCACATATCTAGAACATATGTCAATCTGCAGAATAAAAAATATGTACTGATTTTTAACTTACAAGTAATACAGTTAAATATAACTTTACAAGATTGCAGCTATATTTTAAGCTTTAACTCAGACAAACAACAGACCTTTCACAACATAATTTCATCTTGTAGCATCTTTAGATGAGAAGGACATACTTTAAATACTTTATCAACCATAAGCTAGCAATTAATAATCTGTTAAAGCCTGAAAATAGCTTACAGTATGACCTGTCCTCACACCAGCAAGAGATTTCTGTTTCTAACACACTTACGGCAACTTCTTTGATGTACTTTGTTGTAATTAGCAGTAAATCAAGGATTTTTTCCAATGACAACCTTTTTATTTTTTCCCTCCTGTGCAAAGCAGCAACAATCCTCACCTCATTTGTCCTCCACTTGCAGAAAGACTGGCCCTGATGGACAAGTATAGATGTATACTTGAAAGATTTAAATCAACCATCCAGGTTACTCCCTACTTAGGTTTGGTTTAGGGATGTCATAGCATTTTTCAGAAATAAGCATCTAGCGCACTTGTACAATCAAAGTGAGTCATGTTTAAAATTAGGTGTTTATACTCCCTTGTCTGAGATGGCAGCTGAGATGGAAGGGAGTGGCCAAAATTTAATGCTATCAAAATGTGGAAGCTGTGCAAGAAATTAGGTATTCTACTTGTTGTTCAACAAGCATATATGAGAAAGTTATTACACTGGACAAAAAAAAAAAAGGTATAATACTGAACAGCATCCTTCATTATTTTCCAAATGATCCAAGTTCAGAGAGATATGCTTTATAAGAAATGGTATCAGCAAGGTCATTGGCTGACCACCAGTGCAGAAAAAACACCCAAGTTGCAGGCAAGTCTCCACAGGGGTTTCTGCTAAAACCTGTGGGGCACTTTTCCAGAGCTTTCAGGAGAGCCTTCTGTAGAAACAAACACGCAGAACGGGACATACCCTACTGACAAAAGAGAGCATAAAATGGTATCAACAGTGGCCTACAAGCACAGGGGGCAAAACAAACACAACTCCTAGCAATCAAAGCACTAGCAAAGTTTAAAGCGATTCTCAATAGCAAATTAATTCTGGTGCAACTTAGACAAAGTGTTGTAGTTTCTCCAACTCTGAATCTTGCTGCATGCTCCAGACAATTGTGAAATACTTCAATGACTTGCAGTTGCTGAAGAATTGCTTGAATACACGGCTGGTCAGAAAGGTAAGAAGTAAATGAATGAACACTTATGGAAGGAAAATATCACAAATACAAATCCAAAGCTTATTACTGTTCTTATATTTCACTACTTCATCTAGTCTACCCTGAAGCAATTACTCTATTTCCAAATACCTCTTTTCCTTAAAGCTTAAGAAATAAGACAGATAGGAAAGAAGAAATATGCAAAGACCAAATGTTAACTAGCCTACCCTTAGAAAGAGCAAAGTAGCAATACCTTCTAACACCGAATCTTGCTCTCATAGCAGCTACTCTCATTTCCTTCTGAACAAGGCCATAGATTTGCACCTCTTCCTGGAAGTCAGATGAGTGTCAAAAGCATCTGCAGATAAGGGGTCTCAAACTGAAATATATAGCAACAGACCCGGAGCTGACTACCAGCACACTGGGACATGAAATCTGGGTTACAACTGCAACAGAGCTGCCCATAACAGTAACAGCTTCTTGGCTCTGAGCTCACAAGAAAATAAAAGTTAATTATACAGACCATGAGAAGAGAGATGCAGAACAAAAGTGAAAAATTCATCACAAAGTAATTCCACCACACATATTAAGTCAATTCTGTGAGCACTTTTGGTTTATTTTTATTTATCAATACAGAGATACAGAAATTGTCCAAATGGGACAGATACAGCCCTGCTTTTGTATGAAGAGCACTGAAACAGAGGAAGGAAGAAGGCAGATGAAACAAATAGAGAACAAACTTCCACAAGTCGCAACTGACAGAGGGAAGGTAAATATGGAACAACTTCTGCCTGTTCCAAGAATACGAGACATTCAGAAAAAGCTGCTTAAAAGAGAAAAAAAACCCCAGTTATTTCCTCACAAAATGTATAACTAGGCTTAAGGTTCATGAAGTTCATGCAGCTGGGCAAATTACAGGAAGAAAATTCACAACAAACTCCATGTTCAAAAATGAGATTTCTATCTCATGAACTCCTAAACAACAAAATCACTGGAAGACAGAATGGTAAGCAAGCACACAGCGATACTCCAGCAGCATTTTTCACTTATTCTTGTCTAAGCATGGCAGCTGACCCACCGTCAGTACAGATTTTGATATGATGCCTGTTTCTCTGCCCTTCCATGGACACAAGCTCCAAACAACTGCAGATAATGGATCATCTTAAGGCACTGGCACCATTGTGCAGGGCTTTTCAAAGGGTTTGGCGTCTAATTTCCTTTAAGCAAGTAGCATGTTAGTGCATTGTCTTGCTGTGGTTTTTCTCCCCCATACTTTAACATAATGAGCTTTGAGAAGACACAAACAGGCACACCAGATACAGGAACTTTAAATCCAGAATCATGCTACAATACTGAATTGAAAATGCAAACAGTCCTTCCTATCTGTTGAGACAGTGACTACAAGAAGTCTTGTAGAATTCAATTTCAAACCTATACCCAGAACACACAAAAGTTATGTATTAATTTTTTTCAATCAGTATATTATAATCCACTGGGTACTATTTTTTCAAGCAAAACATTATAACCCAGGGACAACTATGGCGTTAACTCTAGTGTTAAACATTTATTTATGAATCAATACATTTTTGCTAATGTAACCAAATAGGCAGTAAAATAGGCAGGAAGGTTTCATGACAAAACTAGTAGTTACTAGAGAAATAAGAAAAATAAGGTCTTGTATTAAGCAATCAGTAACACTGTAAATTAAACAGCAGTTTGTGGTAGGCTAATCTAATAGAATAAAAAGAAAAGTCTTGAATCTTTGATCACATCTTGAAGTTAATATTTGATTTTGCGTATTAAACTTTTCATACTCATGACCATACCACAACATAAAGTTGAAGGCACTAAACACTTCTACTCTACAATTACAGATTACCTTTTAAGCAATTTAAAACCTCTTTTGAGTGCTGAACCTTCAGAGATCTTCATAGGCCTAAGATGTCCATCAAGGAGCCAAATATGCGACTGTCCAGCTGAAAAGTGTGACCAGCAAAGCTAGCTCATAATAGGAGTTTCACACACCTCTCAAACAACGATACTCATGCTATTTTAAAATTAATTAATGCTTGTTCTATTTTATTCAGAATTATCTAGAAAATAAATAAATAAATAACCTACTCTTCATCTTGAAGATTAACTATTCCTTTAAAAACAAAAAAGGTCAAAACCCATTGCTTCCTAGAATTCTGTCACTGAACAAATGACTGATCGACTTGTTCTTCGTAATATGGACTTTACAGAAACAAAAATCCAATACTACTTACCTAGAACAGATGAATCCTAAGTAATTTCCACCCACATTAACATTGCCCACAGAATAGCCAAGTCATAACCCTGAAAACCACAACTAATCAGCAGTTGCTGAATACTGTCACAGAGAGAACAGGTCAGGCATGTAGAAGTTATTTTTAAATGATCCTAATTACAAGATAATTTTAATTGTGGGTAACAGCAATAGAGACCAAATGTTAGCTGCAACTTTCAACAACCAAAAACATTTTTAGTAGAGAAGAATCATACAAAAATTACTAAGAACTCTCCTTGTTCCACATTTATTTTACAAGTCCTTATCAGAGCTTCCCAAAACAGCATGAGAATATCAGGTTTGCCGTTCTTGGTGAGATAAACCTACACCGTAATTCTTCTCTCCAAGTAGTCTGTAATTAAGAAAAAAAAAAAAAAACAACTTTCTTCCATCCCATTAAAAAAAAATTATTTTAAAAAGGCATTTATTTGTAGAGTGTTAAATTGAACTGTCATTTAAGGTATGCTTATAAAATGAACAAAAAAATTAATTAGGCAGTCTTCTGACAGAACAAATCATATCAACTAGCATTTTAAGAAAATATAATCTTCTGTAATAGAAAAGAAATACAGCTCAGTTCTGCTAAAGGCAGAATTGCTCATTTTGGAACAGGATGAAACCCAAAACAACTGATTTGAATAATTCTGTTTTATCAAACAACACAGTGGTTGTCACATAGAGTTATAAAAGTGCTATCTGCACCCACAAGAAGAGATTTGTAATTACTATTTTCCATAAGTCCACTGGTGCTCTCTGGAAAAACAGTGCAGTCACCTCTGACAATCTCAAAACTAAATACAGAATACTTCATCCATCACCAAACAAGACCTTGCACATCAAAAGTTAACTGGCACTGACACTGCACATTTAAGTCTTCAGGTACATGTAATTCATGTTTAGATCGTTAAGCAATAACTTCCTCCAAAAATAAGAAATAAAATAATAATAATATCAAACTGAAAAAGAAAAAAGCCCAACAAAAATAATAAAAAACCCCAAACAAAAACCCAACCAACCACCAAAACAAAAATCCCAGAAAAAAACTAACCCAAACCACCCCCCCTCAAAAAAGAGAAAAACAGTAATTAGAGCAGCCATTATTTCCTTCTGGGAAAGTAATTTTTTTTTCAATTCAAGGTACTTCTAATTGGAAAAACCACCACCAAACCAAATAAAAACAACATTAAAAAACAACCCCCCAAAATCACCAAAAAACACCTCAACCCACCAGAACCCACCCTCAAGTGTTTAAGGGTTTGAAGTTTTCTACATACTGGTATAATTTCGTAATGTGGAAAACCAGATTCAATCCACTCCCTTTTCAATACCTTCATTTAACAACACGTTGCCTTCCTCTTTTCTCCTCTACCAGAACTTTGATGGCTCTGGTAAAAGAGAAAATAACCTCAATGTATTGACTAACAACAAAAGGCAAAACCAAACTCGACATGTTAATTTGTGCACAGTATTAACACTACCTTAAAAAAATTAATAAATATTGTTCATTTAAAAAAGGAAACCTACCCCCACAATTAACAAGTATCCATGACAATGCTGGATAACTTTAGATGACCAGCTGCAGGCCATAACGATGCCTAGCAAGATTTTTGAGGGTTTTTTTGTTTGTTGATGGTAATGCACTGCAGAATGAAAATAATCCATCTCATTTTCAGTCTCTTAAGATCACCTCTCACTTGCTGGAAACAGTATACTAGCTTCTATAACATGCTAAACAGTCAATGAGAAAAGCAGTCCTACACTGTTCACTAGGCTAAAGCTGAAATCAAATGCCTATGAATATCTGACAAAATTCTCTCATTAACATTGCAGGTTGAAATTCAGCTTTACAACTGATGTATGGATGCTGTGGCAATGATAAGAAAAATTAATTGCATGAGGAATATCAGCAAATATTATGACATTCATAATTTTCATTGTATACATGATGAACTTACTGAACATCTGTCTTATGAAAAGCATATTCAGCATTCCTTGCAAATGACATTAGGTATTTCTGGCTTCTCTGTTTTCCAATTTTACATCTCTATATACAGAACGTGAACTTCAACTTGGACAAAGTTCAAGCAATCAGAGTTAATATTTTTCTTCTCATGTCTAACTAGTATTTGCCTCACATTTCTTAGGAGTTACCTCAACTATTTCAGAATAAAATATTTTTTAAAAAATCAAGTTCAAGAATCTAATTTTCACTATCTCATTATCAATGTTACTCCCTTCAACTTGCATGGAAAGGATTCATTTGACCAAATGCGAATTTCTACAGCTGACCTCTCAGGTAAACTTCCTATCCATCTGTTTATATGAAACAAACTCTGAGGGCCCAACTGACTGATATTTCAGCATCTACTGGGGGTCAGCTTATATCACTCTGAAGAATAATTTGTGTTTCTGATCTGCTATAAATCTCTGACAAATGTCATACAAACAGCATGTATGTGACAGTTTAAGCAATTACTGCCCCCAGGTGTTGGATCTACTCTTCTGGAAACTTCATTCCTCTCCTCTTTCCCAAACCTGAGATGGACTATGTACTGTACCTTAATGCAACCAATATAGAGATGAGTATGTCAACAGAAACTACTGATTTTTGTAATTTTTGCAAATGCGGGAGCAAAACTTGGAAGTAGCTGATGCATAGATTTTATTATGCTGACCCTGTACCAGGAACACCATCTTCCCTGACAGGGCAATAAAGGAGCAGGGAAGGTGACACAGACCTGTTGTTCAGTGAGTGGAAGCCCACGCTGTAGCCAGTACATTTTCCAATTTATATGCTTACTAAATGACAGCAGCAATTAAATCCCCCCAAATGTTAATCTTACATGATTTCTAATGAAAGCCTTGTTGCAAAACTGTGGTGTGCAAACTGTAAAGGCAATCATACCTTAAAGCATATGTCATAAACTAGCATCAATTTTCATTTTAATTAAATAAAATTTAGTTTTTATTACCAGAAAATTCAACAGTTAGTATTACAAAATGTCTTCCTTTTCCAATAAATTAATGCAAGTAGTAAAACACAAATTAGTACCTTAAAAACTTAAGTTTATTTCTACTGTAAATCAGTTATATTTAACAAAAAGGAGTAACAACTGTTAACTTATCATGTAGAGTTCAATGACAAAGTTTTTCCTGTCCTGTGAAAAATGACACCATTTCAAAATGTTTCCTGTTTCACATCAGGAAGAACTTAAGCTCTCACGGTTCTTCATGAAAAACAGGAGACGAAGAGACCATGAAACAACTGAATTCAGAACAACCCTTAATGTCTAAATGTCTAAACCACTTACCTGCTTGGGTTACTTATTATCATCAGGCAGGGTCCTGTAAATTTTCCACAATTTTCTGAGAAAACCTTTAGAAAAGTTCCTTTTCTTTGAAGTTGTAACAAACATTTCTTTTAAGGAATCAAACTGCCACCTAGAAATGTTTTTGTCAGCTTCTGTAATGTGGTAATTAGTAACAGGACAAACAACAATTCTGTGTGATTCTCAAAGCCTCAACAGCCTTAGTAGGCATATATTAGGAGAAATTAACTATTTTAGTGAACACACAGGAAAACATTTAAAAAAAACCCCCTTTATAGATACCTCAGCAATTTTTCCACTTCTACTTATTACAGGATTTTAAGGGAAAAGTAGTCATGTAAATCATCTTTCAGACTATACATAAATCCATCTATAACTGAGGGTCCTGCTACAGAGAAAATGTTTACTTGATAAATATAGCTCTGGATGATTACAAAAAACCAGAAAAATTACAGAAAAACAGGACACCTCTGTATCAAGGGAAGGATTTTTATCCCAGTAAAAATTGAAACTATTTGGTTACTACAAGCAATTGGAAGCAAACAAACATACATCACACAGCAGATGTTCAGTAGATCTTGTGTAGTTCCTTAGGAACCACTAAATCTGCTTTTAGGTGTGTCTGTCAGGCTCGACACACATCAGCCTACACGGAGTATATGAAACATTCATGCCTACATGCAACCCCTACAACAGCAGTCCACGGCTGCAGGTGCCCAAAAGATGCACAGAGCAAAGCTCTCTAAAACTTGGGGTCACCTGTGGTACCAAGCAACAGAACCAACAGGAAGCGACTAAATCAAACATCCTTTTTTCCCCATCTCCAATTAGTAACAGAAATTCAAAC